CTATCAGCTTTGAAAACAAGGAAAGAGATGGTTAATCAGATCTTTTCTTTTTCACTGTACATTTGCTTCCCTCTGATAGCTTGTAGGCTTTATTACTGGATTTGATTAAAACCTAACCCTTCTGTCCACTCAGCTAAAGCCTGAGAAGGTCCTGCTGCACAGTCCTGAAAGGAAACCTTCAGTGGAAACCAAGAAAGCAAACGGAACAGCCCAACCAGATATTTTAAAGGCCAAAACTATGGTTCCCCCGGAGATCTTCTACTTACAGTGAGCCATATATAAAGTTTCAGAAGGAGAAGGTGGAGCAGCAGGTATTTGTAAAGGTAGCCAGTGGAAAGAAAGAAGCAAAACCAAGAAAGATTTCAGTGAATTTGGAAGGGTAGAAAAGGAAAGGCAAATTAAGGCATAAAAGCTAGGGCAAAAATACCCGTATCCTATAATTTCTCCCAAGTGAAGGAGAAGCCAGTGATGCCACAGATGTGACTGAAACCATGAAACTGAAGGCATTTATGAAAACTCCTGTGCCCTGGGAGTTTGTAGGTGATACAACTCCATCCTGAGAAACGATGAATATGACATCAGTTCCTGGTATGTCCCATACCCCATCCTTGCACACAGGCACTACCAAGCTGGTGCTAGACCAGAGAAACCATCCAGATAAACCTTTTTTATCTTTTAAATGGAACCTCTGAGTGTTTTTTTTTCCCCCTCTATGTTTCCTAGATAGGCTCATCACCACGGTGTGTCATTTTTTCCTAAATGGCAAACCATGGTTGTTTTCCAGATAGCTTATAGCAGGGGGAGTATTTTGTCTGAGTCACCAGAGCCATCTGTTCTAGACAAATATTTCAGTGAATGGTCTCTCTTTCTTACTTAGACTGCTTTTACTCTCCTGTTTGAAGATCGATTCTGTGAAGACAAAGGCAGGGTGGTCTCTCATTGACTCGCTCACCCTCCCTCCATGAGCTGTCATTAAACCATCCCCCAGATTCAGCACCAGCAAACATTAAAATGGTTTGTAGACAGATTTTCAAGCTGGGTTAGATTTATGAATTAAAGTTTTAAAAGAAGTGGTTTTGGCTTCCTGGGCCGTTGCAAACAACTTGTCTTCAGTTCCCTGCAGATTGCTCAGGGTATAAGAACATATTTTGGGGGTTGAGGGTTCCTCAAAACATTAACCCGTGCCCGCTTCCTGCAGCATGTGGACATAACTCAAGATACACAACTAATGTTTCCGTGACAGGGTGAGTTCCTTCCCTCCTTGCAAGGGGTTTGGGTGGCTTCAGCTTCAACTCCTCTTGCTTCCTGAGTGATGTTTGCTTCCCTTTCTGCCCTCCCATCAAACCCCAAGTGAAACAGCCTCCACAGTGCTTGTGCAGTCTCTCTTACCACACTGCAAGCAGGATTGGTGCCGCTGGGCTGGCCACCTTCCTGGGGTCCCTCCACACGTGGCTGTGCAGGGTGGGTGGCTCCAGCCCAACTGGGCGTCTGGCCCCAGACTCACTGCAGTGCCAGGCCCGTGCCCAGGCTCCCAGCAGCAGTTTTGGCCAAGGCCAGTGAGTGAGCTCTAGCACGCGGGGTTTCTGTCAGCCTTGTCACCCATAGCTGTGACCGTATCCATCATGTGTCTGACCTGACACAGGAGAAAATCGTGGGGCCAAGAGCATCAGTTAGGGAAGAGGGAAAAGCAAACAGCATTGTCCTTCATATCCTAAGTGGCTAAATCAGGAGATTAGCCCTGCTCTACGTGATTTTGGGCATGGCAGCAAAAGCATCCCTCCCAGGAGCAAAGGCAATAAGAAACACCTGGGAGAACTAAATGCCCTCTGAGGGCAACCCGGTGTGCTGCCTGCCTGCCACAGGGCTGTGGCTTTTCCATCAAACCTGCCATCATCACTAATGCTGCCTATTGAAAAGACCCAGCAGCTAGTGAATGGACCAGCAGCTGGTCGTTGGACAACAAGACGTGCAGGCGATAAATCCAGGGCTACTGACAGAGGTCTTGGGTTTCTGTCCCTCTACCTTCACTCAGGGGTACTCCAGACCCCTGGCAAAGTGATTTATGTGCTCTGGGTCGAAAGGCTTCACCTTCCCCGTGCAAATCACAGACCAAAAGCAACCACTTCCAGGCTGGATGGTGGCAAAAGGAGAGCTGAAAGGAGAGATGAGCCACCAGCGTGCTGGTGCCACCATGTCATGCCACCGTGATGTCCTTACATGTCCTGGAAGGTTGGCACAGTTAAATCTCATTAACTAAAAGCAGCAAAAGCACAGTAAGACACTGTAGAGATCCCCATCCCTCCTGCTGCTCACAACTGCTGGAGATCCTGGGAGGAAAACCCTCTTCCCAGACTGGTACAATTCGAGATTTTCCTTCCAAAGGGCATGGAGAATATTTGCATTTGGTTTTCCCTTTCCCAGCTCTATCTAAATAAAAGGGAATTGCCAAAAATTTGCAGGCAATTTCCTCTCCCATGATACTTTAAATCTCATTGTGTGCCATCAAGAGAAAAGCAGACTATGTATCAATCATTACTGCACAGAAAACTCAAGAAAGTATAAGGAGTGAGACATACTAATGAAGAAAAATCCAATTCTAGTTAGCTAGGAAGAAATTAAGATCAGAAAAGGTGGAGCACTTTGGCTAAGATTTTACATCCATGAGCACCACTGACACTGAGTGTTCTCCTCCATTCCTTTCAATATCAGACCTTTAATGAAAGGGTCCAGTCCTTACAACAAGCAATTAAGTACCAGCCCAGCTGTGCCCTCAAATCTCTCTGAACAAGTAGCAGGAAGCTGATCAGATGCAGCAAGGGGAAGAAGGAGGATTCCTGCCCCAAATGATTCGTGGTGCCTATCTTTATTTATTTATTTATTTATTTATTTAATTTTAAATTTAATTTCTAAATCAGAGATTATCACAGCAGCTCAGTGACACACAACTGAAGCCTTCCTTCAGTGCAAGCATTTCACCACCAACTATACTGGAAGATTTGACTGCTCAAAGCGGGTCTGGCTGGCACAACCTCAGGTCAGGAATGAGCCTGGGAGCAGGTCCCTGCCTCAAGGGTCTTGTCCAACAGTGTCCCTGTGCAGCAGATGGAAAGCCACAGGTTGTGATGATGCTTGCACAGCTGAGCCATAGGACTTGTAGGCTGAAACAGTGTCCATTTTCTGCCCTAAACCAGTGGGCTTAATTAAAGATACTCCCCATAACCTTGCCAATCACACATCCTGAGACCACTGAGCCGATAACCAACACTGCTACCCAAAACCAGCCGGGTTGGTACAGACTGGTGGGTCATTCTCTGGCTCACTCTGCTTTCACCCAAAACAAGCAGGTCCGCCCAGGCATTTGTCAGACTTTCCATCAGTTCAAAAGTGCTCCTCAGTCCTCAGGGATGCAAGACCTTGGCTTTGGCAAGCCGGTTCAAACTGTTCACCAGACGGTGAAACAAATTACAGAAGGGCACCAGTCTGTGGCTGAAGACGTGGGGTTTACTGAACCACAGCTGCTGGAGGAGCCTGGAGCACACCCAAGCCTTCCCTCTGCAAGCCTTGGAGCATTTGCTGCCTGGGGCTTCCTCTGAGGATACAAGGCCAGCGTGAAGGCAAGACTCATTTTATTTGTACAAATGGTCCCTGTGATTGCCAGCTGGACCTCTAAGTCTTCCTCCCCAAGTACCTGCAGCAGCCCTTCTTTTTGTACATCTCATTTGTGCTGGTAAAAAAGCCTCTGGGGATCCAATCTGCACTACGAAAAAACCCCTCAAACCGTCAATCATAAATATGCCACAATTAGCAATTTTAAAAAGGAAAAAATATACAATATAGACACATGCATATAAAATATGTTTCATAATTGAGATTTCTCTCCACTTCTCATTAGCTGCTGAATATAGATGTTGTGGGCTGCTGTAACCACTCTGAGCTGCCAGCTTTGCTGCTGCCTACTTTACCAACTAATTTCTCCAGGCAGGACGTGCAAGTAAGGCCAAGTCCTGGCACAGGCATCTGAGGACACAAGAACAGTGTTTGAGGGGAACATGATCCCAGGGAGAAGTCCCACTGCTTAGTAGTGGGAATGACCTTTATCCCCCATGATGCATCAAGCACAGCAAGATCAAGCCAGGCATTTCCTGGATGCAAGTCTCTGGTTCGTCTTCTCTGTTGATGCCGTGTGTCCCCTTGGGAGGTGACAGGTGACCTCTGAGCAGCCACGGCTGAGGAAGAGGAAGGGAATGTGGCAGAGAAGGACGTGCTCCTGCAGCAAACGCAGCCAGGGGCGCGTTCCCACCAGTCACTTGTGGGAGTGAAATTTTTGAGTCGCATTAAAAAATGCCCCAGACGTCAGGAGGGAGGAATGGCCATGCAGGACTTGGCTCCCCATTCAGACCAAAACAAACCAAAGCACTACAGCCCTAAACAAGCAGACCAGGTACATTTGGGCCATTTGACACTGCATGAGTGTGTTGCCTGGAGCAGCGTTTCCACACACTCTGCCTGGGAGTGTAGCTGCTGAGGACTGAGGATGCACTGCCTTGTGCAGGAGAACAGCCCCTGCTGTTACTGGCCAGGCTGCAGAGCTGAGCCTGGCATGAGCCAAACCCATATCATGGGGTAAAAACCCAGCACCACAAGGCTGTTGAGAGAGCCAGAAGCTGCCAGTGACAGTGATGGTACCTGCCACTGCCACCACTGTCCGTGATGGAGAAGTAGAAAGGGTGATTATGTGAGTTTAATAGCTATGCAGTGACTCTTCTGTGCCCACAGGGTCTCCTCACGTCCTTAGGGATGACTGGGAAGCAAGGCTATGACTGTAGCTCCTCCCTTTTGAGTAGGAAATGCTGGGTTGTTGCCTTGGGCACTCCCCTGGGCCCTGACTTCTCAAGCAGCTGCCGTGGCTGCAGAGCCGCCCTCCTGCCAGGCAGCAGCCCCAGCTCCCTCCACTGACACACACTCCCCATAATGCACAAGTAAGAATCACACCACTTGGCTTCAAAACATACAATATACTTTATTGCCTGCTAGATAATCAAAGTGAGGAGTAAACACCATAGCTGGAAAAAGCAGAAAAGGACCAGGAGAAGGAAAAGAATATCCAGTCACCAAACAAGTTATCAGGCAATAAACCATACACAATATAAATAATCTGTTTTCCAAACAACTAAATCTTTATTTTGCTAATGGCCATTATATGGTTAATTATCAGTAGTAAAATCTCTGGATTTCCTTTTCTACACAGCATTAGTAGTAAGAAATATATAAGGGACTCTGCAGAAAGCAATACAAAGGAGTTATATACACAGGCACCTTCTGTGGAGCAAGAACAGAACCTCATCTAATAAGGAAGGGCTATCTACAAACCAGAAGACCATGGTAATACAATATTAGCTCAGACTTAGTTTAGCTGCAGCCTTTCCACAAGGTAGGCTAGCCAACTTATGTATACATATATATTTTAATATAGATATATATAGAGATTTATTATTTTAAAAATAATGTGAACTACCTGTAGTTCCTAGACTAATTTTAAAGAGGCAGTGTACCTTTCTGAAGCTTCATTTCAGGAAGTATATTAAAAATGGTATATAAAAGACTAGCAGACCCAAGCTCGTATATCGAATCTCGATATCTTCCCTCCGATTTTTGTCTAATGCTGTAGCTGCCACCCGCATTGACAGCAATGCCTTTAGTCATCTGGATTGCTATTTATGTTGCTGTAATTGCTACCACTAAGTTTACTGGGTTATAGTGTTAGTAATTGTCGGTTATAAATAGCAACAATGCTGCAGTACACTGTCAAAGCCTGGCCGCGTTATGAAGATCTAGTCTGTATGTGCATGCAGAGTTTTGTTGTTTAATCTAAAAGAACATTTCTCAGTCAAAGTGCTTCCCCTGCTAACTCCCCTCCCTGTTGTTCAACCACATTGCAAGGGCTACTCTCTCTAAGGAAAATGTGATGCCTCTCAGCCCACACCAAACTCTCAGCAGCCTTTCAGATGGCATCCATCCACCAATCCATCCATCCATCCATCCATCCATCCATCCATCCATCCATTCAATTTTATTTTCAGGACATAATCCTTTCCTCTCACACAGCCAGTGTCCTGAGGGCTATTAAATACAACTTATTAAAATTAAAACTGCCTATTTGAGGAAATGCTTGTAATGCATTTTGGGCCTAATCTTCAGCTGGGCGATGTCAGCCTTACGCTCCCTGTAGCAGGCAGGCAAGCAGCAGGGCACTGCTTGTTGCTGCTGCCCAAGAACCAAGCCCAAGCCACCAAGCAAGGAAAGAGGAAGGGAGAGACCTTTGCTGGGGACACCATGACGACCTGGCAAGAGCAAGGGTGCCTTTTGTGCCACCCTTTTCTAGTCTGCTTGCTCCCTGTTTATGTCTTGGGGTCCACTCACAAAGGCAAAGCAGGAGCATGCACATGCAGACAGGCAGCACCCCTTCCGCTGGATCTGCACAAAAACAGAGGGGTAGAGGGAGGAGGCCCCTTTTGTAAGTGATGCCATTCTGATCTCAGCCCAACTCTCCACAGGCTTCGCTGCTCACACGAGGTGCAACATCACCTCTGTTCATGACACAGATGTCACTTCACACACTCCTCGCCATAAGGGTCTCCAGGAGCCTCTTCCCAAATCAGTGCTGACACCCTGATACACAGTCGCTCTACTTCGGGTACCACCCCAGTGGGCCAGAGCTGGGTTTGCACGAAGTCAGTGGCTCAGACCCAAGAATGACCTGGAACACAGCAGCACAGGCACAGGGGGTCTCCAACTGGGGCAGAAAATCTGGTGGAGCGAGACAGCTGAGGGGGGTAGGAAGGTTGTTTCTGTTTTCACACATGCCCAGGCACCCCCTCCCTTCCCCAGTCTGCAACATTTCCTCGTGACCTGCCAAACCAGGATCCGGCCTGTGTGACCTGGGCATGGTCCCACCAGCACAAGGGACCACCCTGCTCCACCAGACTCCCAGCCAGGCACGTGCCACTGGCAGAAACAACCTCCAATACAAGCACCAACATCTGGCCAAAAGCGCACAGCACACCCTCAACAGAAACTGGCTTTTGAGTATGGCACAGAACATGTACCAAGAAAACGGAGGTAATAAATAAATTGTTTCCCATAATCATTCTGACATTTTGATAGGGGAGCACAAAAATGGGTATTTGAAAGAAGGACACCCCGATGGAACAGGATGTATTTGCAGTATTAGGGGAGGAAGGATGGGCTGTACCTAAAAGCATATCGGCCATGAGCACTTGGCCAGGCAAACACATCCTTGTTGAATTCAGCATTGCCTCCTGCATCTTTAACTATGAAACAGTAAAGACAGAAAATTCCTGATTGATATTTCATAGTGACCTCAGAAGCAATCTTAGCTATCCAAGCAGCAGGTATCCTCTGCCTCCTCCAGGTACCCACTGAGAGCAGGCAGGTAAGTACTGCAAGAAGAGAGACACACACAAAAGCTAGAAGCTGAGCTGTGTGCTGCAGAATGTGAATTCTTCTGCCCATATCAGGAAAGCCACTGTGTATGGACGCTGTTCAAAATTCAGTCCCTTCAGTTCCTGCATCATCACAGAGCATCACTTCACCTTATTTATGCACCTGGACCTTGCTTTACCATTGGTGTTACGCAGATTGTGCAAGCACAGGAGAAGAAAAATGCCCTTTATTTTTTCTTGTACTTTGATAGAATTCTGTGCCTGCAAGGGTAACAGGATGAGTGTTATTTTTCAATTCTGTGAGTAATTCCTCTCCAGCTCTACAGGACTCAAAGCACATGCTGATACTCAATAGCAGGGAAAATGTGAGAAGCATCTGCCAGCTATGCTGGGCAGAAGGGGAAAAAAAGACAAATTTTAAGAGAGAAGCACTTAAACTAGATATAAAACCTGCCATTGTTTTTTGACTACTGAGGAAGAGGGTGTAATTTGGAAGTCATGCTGTGGTTGATTTGCCGCAAAGTGCAGCTTTTTTGTCAGTTTTGTCTCCACTGCAACCTGATTTTTTTGCTTATCCTAGGTAGGGTCCCTAGGTGAAAGCAGGAGTCAGAAAATCAAGGGGAGCATGAGGGATTAAGAGTTTTACAGAACAGGAGAGAAACTGTGAAACATGGGGGAAAACACTTTTCCTTCTCTAGGCATTGCTGAAGATCATATCGATCGTGAAAGTCAAGGACTGCTGAACATACTGGTTAATTTGCAACTGAAGTGCAGCCTGATGGGCATCCACCCTATTTCACTGGGTGTGTGTTGAAACCAGGAACAAAAACTCATAGCACTAGGCCATTCTTGCGAAGATGATTATTGGGCTTGGGGAAAATCAGTTCATCCCTTCCACAAGTTTTTTTGTTTCCCCTATTATAGTGCCATTTTTTCCATTCATAAGGTTATTGAGAAAATTGCATTTTTAAACTGTTATGTTGCCCCCCTTTCCTTTTTAGCCATTAAATGCTTTCTCTCTCAATGCCTGGAGATTCCCAACTACTGCAGGAGGTTGTCTGTGGAGATGCTGCCCTTACAAGTCAGTCTTTGGTCAGCACACAGTTGCACAGTGTTTCATCAGTGGCTCTTACTGGAACTAAACAGACCTGGGTCCCTCAGCCATCCAAGCCCCTTGCCATATCTGTGCCTGTAACTGGGACCAGGCATCACCTGGAGAAAGCATCCATAGGAAGCCAACATTTCTGAGGCCTCTGCTTTGTCTCCTGCCTATGGTACCACTTCTTTCAGCTCTTCAACACGGTGCCCAGTCCCTGTGCTGCTTTGTTTGCCTCCCTGGGTGTCAGTGCCCGGGTCTGGAGCACCACATGGAGAGCTCAGTGGGGGCCACAGTGGCAATCGATGGGCCCTGTGCGCCTCCGGCAGCATCGGCAGGGCAGCCTCTGCCACAGCCTGCAGCTGGTTCTGCTGATGTCACAAAGCCCTGGAAATGCACAGCCAGGGCTCAGCAGCACCCCAGCACCGTGTGTGGCCCTCAGGCCGTCCCATGGCAGTGTGGGCTGCCGGGGGGCTGCCGTGCATCGCAGAAGGCACTAATGGCACTTGCCGCCGGAGCCGGGGGGCTTTGCCGTCACCTCCCCCACCTCTGAGCTTTGTGTGGCCATGCAGAAGAGCAGGGCTGGTGGGCCTGGGGCAGAGTCTCAGCAGGATGCCAGCACAGCTGGGGCCATCTCTGCCCAGTGTCTGGACCACTGGGGCGTAAGGGGTTTGCCAACCAATTTCTTGCAAGCCTAAACCTCTGCTGAGTGAGCAAATCCCTGCCCTGGCACCAGGCACAGCGACCAGGAGTGCAGGCAGGGAGCTTCCTGATGGACCAGAACAGGCAGAAAATGAAGGCTTGAGGGATGTGCTCTCTCCTTTGCTTCCCTATGGGATGCCTGTTCCCAGTAATGGGCACTCAGCTTGGAGAGAAGCATGGTCTGTCCTTTGGAGACTCTTTGATAAACTGCGGCATTGTCCAGAGTAAATCTACACACCAGCAGCAACAGAGCACACGGCTCTTGTAACGCACTGGACTTGCTCCATGAGTCTCCTAAGTGTTTCAAAATTGTTCCACTAGTCCTGGTTTTGGAGCTGGAGAGTATTGCAGGTACAGGGCTGTCCTGGTCCCTGCACTGCCAACACCATCAGGGGCTGCTTTTCCCACATCTTCCACATAAAGGCTGGATCAGACCTAGGCAGGGACCTTGCTGTGAGCAGAGGTGATGCCAGCAGCATCCCACCAGAGGGCAGGCAGGAAAATACCTGTTTCCAAGGCCAGAGGCAGCTGAGAGAGGACATCTGTAGAGCCAGGGCAGGCTCCAGCACCTGATGGCTCTCCAGCCTCTTGGTGTGGCTGGCACAAGGACTGCCTACTGGAATGGATGCTGCTCTCCTTTGGTTTCCTCCCTGTAATATGGCTTTAATGATGGACTCGTGGTATCTGAAAAGGGCACCAAGGAAAAAGGCTGGAAAGCTGGGTTGGTTTGGTGATGTTTGGTTTTTTTGTCTGTTTCTTTTTATGTTTTTTCACTGTTAACTCTGTTAAAAAAATAAAAAAAAAGTTGAAGGCAACTACTGGATAGAAAACAGCACAAGGAGAAAGGTCTCTTTGAACCTCTCTGGTATGGCTATTAACCATCAACCTGACACACAATTTGAAGGAAGAGGCTTACAAAGGCATGGAGGAGTCTTGTGGCAAGTATAAAGTTGGGTTGGTGTTCATTGAAAACCTTGTCTCAGATTTTATCTGACCATTACTTCTAAGGTTGTATTTACAACACCAGCTAAAATGCTTCTCTGTCTAGTATCTTTTGAGGACACTGTCTTTTTCTGCTATACCCTAAAATTTTGTACTTAGGCACTGGGGGAATAAACAACCCTCAAAAGACAGTCAAACTCTGGAAAAAATCATAATGGGGAAACATTTGATTCTCCACTATTAGAGGCTTTTAAGGACAAGTTCAACACCCACCCATCAGGTCTGTGATAAGTATAGCTTAACCTGCCTTGGAAATTCTCTAGCTGACGTCTCCAAGTCCCTTTTGGCCCTGTGACTGTGCCAATGAAATACAGCCAAGATCTCATCCTGCCACAACCCAGGATGTGTTTAATAACCTGACTGGCTGCTTGGTTTTCTGTCTTGACTTGCTGTTTGTGCAGGAATACGCACAAGCACTTCAGACATCCTATTAAGAGTCAGTTTACACTTTCCTCACACCACCACCCAAAGCCTGTCCACTTATACAGTCAGCCTGAACAAAACTGACAACGGGGAGCAGCAAACCAAGAAGAACACAGAGAAATGTCCACCCTGACATTCAAAAGCTGCATGGAAAGCTTTCCTTCAGCCTTTTGCCATCTTGAAAAATGCTGATTGAACTGTTGACTAGTTGATAATGAACAAGAAAACCCCACATTGACAAGAATCACTGGATCTTTAAAACATCCTTTGCCAGTTCTTGCTCATAGCTTGCAGGGGTTGGGTATTTCCAGAGCAGCTGGTTTTTAAAATCAGCTACAATTAACTCATACAAAGACCTGGCTACAAAAAAAAAGGAAAAAAAAAAAAAAAAAAAAAAAAAAAAGGACAAACCTCGAGCTCAGAGTCTGTGACATTTTAAAACAGGCACTCGCAAACAACAAGATGAAACACCGTTAGGAAACACCAACACTGCTGTGCTCACGAGGTGCAGTGTTGCATTTCATGTAACACACCTGCCCAAAACTGACCTCACACACCAAGTCCTGCAAGGAAGGAAAGGAGGTGAATAAACAGCAGCAGCACTGGTGTGCCATGCTCACCTACGGATGGCCATTGGAATCCGTCTGTTCACCATTTCTGCAGTGAGCTGTTACTTTAGCAGCTTGCTGACCCACTCTCACCATAAAAACACAAACAAAAAATGCAGAATTTGATTTATGAAGACGCTGGTCTTTCCTTATAGGCCTGACTGCACCCCAAATTAATCCCCCTCTCCCATTTATAAATTTCACATGGGTGAAAAAAGATCATCTAGTGACACATCTAATTCTGAAAGTCTGTGGCATCCTTCCCAAATTCATGTTTCTTGAGGAAATCAACACTCAGTAACAAGGAGGATAAAAATGTCTTTGCATCATCATTTACACCATGTGCACAGAGCCTTGAGACAATCACCACAACAGCATTTCAAAGTGACCAAAGGAGTTTACAACAGCAAGCATCTGATGCTTCTACTGCCAAATCTTTGACCAACAACTCAAATCCACAGGGAACTGCTCTCCCAATACGATCTCTGACATGCAAAGTGCCTAGGACAGCTTTCAAACAGGAGCAGGTGAAAGATGCAGAAATTAAAAGCAACATTTTACTGACAAGACATGCAGAGCAACAGCCTTTACTTTGATATGCGACTCCTGCAGGTGCCACTCGGACTGCAGCCTTGTGCAGCAGCACCAGGGTCTGTGCACACCCCTCAGCCGGCATCCCCCATCCCACCCGTTCGGATGCAGAGGGAATGCTGTGCTGTGCTTCCCGGCGGCCAGGGGGCCTCCTCTGGAGGAAAAGCAATGCTGCTCCTTGTAAAGCATGGTCCTGATCCTGCAGGCTCCCCCCACGTGTGCCTGCTGGCTTAGGCAAGGCTGTATGAGCAAGGGAGCTGGAAAAGCCAATATCGTGTTTATTTGATCTGAAAGTTTCTTCAGTAATTATGGAGAAAAAGTATTTCGTTATCTGGGGACTTTCATTTCCCCCACTAAGAAAGAAATTTAGAAATGCGGGGTAAGAGTTTTATTTGGCAAGTTAAGGCTCAGCAGGAGCTAATGCAAACGTTGTAGGACTAATATGCAGCACTGAAGGGAGTTTGGGTTTGTTTTTATAAAAAGCGTGTGCCTTCAAGCCACACACTAAAAAATTAAACATGCCAAGCCCCAATAAACTGTGAATCTATTCTCAACAATAAGCTGTTAGGAGGAAAAAAATAACTTATCATATTTCAGAAGCGTGCTAGATGCCTGACTCTGGTGCTGCTTGGGCTTTCCTACAGAGAGCTGGGGCACAAGAAGGGCCCAGGGAGCTTTGCTGCTCTATCCATTTCACTGCAGGATCCCACTTCCCTGTAATTATCTTTCTGCAGAAGCTGCATTTGATGCACAGCCACGGCTGAGGAAAATTGTTGTTAAAACTTTGCTAATTAAAAAAAACACTCTGTGGGTTTTTCAGAGTTATGAAGTAGCTCAGGAAGGTGTGGGATACTGTCCATCCTACTGAAAATCTGTGGATGTTTTGCTACTGATGTCCACCAAGTGTTCATCTGCTCGAGAAAAAAGAGGAGGGGAAAGGCAGGATGACTGAAAAGCAAGGTGAAAGATCTGCAAGTGAAGCCTGACGTTCCCCACTTGCTGCAACAGAAGCAAAACCATCCAACAAAGCCATTTGTCTCTACCAAATATAAAGCATTTTCAGTTGGACAGCAGATTTGCCAGAAGTGACAAACCTTAACCAATTCTTATTTTTAAACAGTTTTTATGCTGTTTATGTCCCTTGTATCTTGATGGCAATGGATTTCCAGTGGCTGAGATCTGTGGGATGATGGTTTGATGCTGAAGGCAGCTGCACGTTCCACACATGCCACCACATCCTCCCACAAACACTGTCAAGTGTGACAGGGCAATGCTGCCAAGGGACTCCCATCTAGGACTTAGGTAACACATGGCACCTAAAAATACATTCACCATTTTCTATTTATCTGAAGATTGTTAAAATAACTGTATTTGTAGTTTTATTAATCAAAAGTAGTAAAAAATTACTCAACTTGAATTGAGTATTTTTTGAGTGGCCTAAAAGGACAGAATTTTCTATTTAAGAATACATTTTAACCTCATTAATAAAGATGCTTTTAAATTCCTGCAACCCTTGGCCATCAATTACAGAATCACTGTGCCCAGGTGGAACAGCACACATCCATTTTTTTTGTCTAGGTTTTTTAAACTACTTGCAGATGAACAGAATCTCTGAATACAAAACTACCACTTTTATACTGACTCTTGTGTCTTAACGGTGTTTTCATGGTTCTCACCCATGAAACATGTACCATGAGTACAACCCTCTTAAATCAGTTATTTAAAAAATGCATCTGCACATATGCTACCTGTTTGAAAATGCTAAAACAAGGACCCAGTTCTAGAGATAATCTGGAAATTACTGTCTTCTGACCACCTGACGACCAAGGTATGTCAGGTACATTTTGCCAACAGGTGGACACAAAAATCTGTAAAACATTTTTATATGTTCCCCTCATTCAGTTATAATAAACCAAGTGCACAGTGCAGTGCAGCTGCCAGAGCTCATGGTAGCAAACACTATGTATTCCAGGCAATTTTTATATAAAAGCCGTAACAGACTAAATCAATCCTGCTGTTATGTGTATGGATGCAAATGAGTAAAATTGTGCTTCACTTTTATAAGGAATTTTTATAAGCACTCTCCAATTCCGCTGTTCCCAGAGCCTGGCCCAAGTGAAGCTCTCAGTGACCTAGGGACAGACACAGCCTTTTTGCTCAGGCTCGACGCTGCTGCCACCATAAACCCACACCCCAACCCCCAAAGCAGCAGCAACTGCACTTGGCCTCCCCACAGAGGTCCCTGGAGGACCTTGGGAACTCCTGGCTACCACTTCATGGTTTTAAGCTGCTGCACCTGTCAGTGCACAACACCACTGTACCAGACATCCCTCACTACATGTACGACTGCTGTGGCGGACCTAGGCTCCATGGCTATCTTTAGAGACAGGGTAAGTGAAAAATGCTGAGTTGCAGAACATCAAAAAAACAGCCAATGCTCAGGACAAGCAGCACAGAAATGGAGTCTCCCACTGCAGCAACTCTGAAACTCCCCCAGCATCAAGCGCATGCGGTGCTGACGATGTGTTGGGCTCAGTGAATCACATGGGTTTTAAATACAGCCCTTTTGTCTTCCCTTCACGCAAGCCAGCAAAATTACACTGTGAACCTGTGCTGATACCTGCCCACGGCCTGGCTCCTGGGCCTGCAATCCTGCATCTTGAATGTCCTACATCTAAAGAGATCCAGCATTTGCATGCAGCATCCTTTATTCATCCCATTCATCCCTAAGATATTTATTTGCCGGTGTGGATTTCTACATGAGAGGTGACTAGTTACCTTGACTTTAAAAGATCTCAGAGCTGAATTAACTGTGTCCTAAATATGGTACACTACAGATAGTTACTAGAAAAGATGTTTAGAAAAAATTAAGTACCGAGATTAAACAGTGTCATTGGAAATGCTTCCCTCCACTACTTTCCAGGGTAAGACTATGCCTCGTGCCAGCCAAGCACAGTATATTTTCTTAAAGCAATAGCAGGAAGAATTTTCTTCATTACTGATTAAAATAACGATGAACACTTGGTATTATTTACGATGTATTTGCTGGGAACCACCTGTTAGCAACACTTACACCACACGCCAAATACATCTGTCATCTAGAAGTGAATGGGACGGTTTAGAACTGCATCACACCTTAAGTAGCTCACACATTACTTCCAGCTGAAAAGTTATTGCTACAGCCACTGAAGCAAAACACAGCATCCATTACAAGCCACAGACTTGAACTGCAATTTCTCCTTTTTTTTCAACCTGGTTGGCAAACCCTTGCTCCTGAAACTGAAGACAATGGAATAGTCCATCTGTTGCGATGGTAATTTCCCTGCCACCTTACTTCCGTTAGGAAACACTGCTCTTCAAAACAAAAGGAAACACAGCCTTGTTGCCATAACCTGTCAATCTCTGCATGCTATTTACATAGCTGCTCTCACTGGAGACACATTACACCCCTCACTCTCAAACTACTGCCCACTGAAACCTGGAAGCTTGTGAAGGTCTGACTTTATCACTGAGTTCCCAGCTGGGTTTGTTTCATTTTGTACTACAAAAATCCATCTGAGCAGCTGCAGGCAAAAAGAGATCCCACACAGAGTTGCTGAGGCACAGATAAACTTCGCCATCCTGAAGGGGAGAGGCTTGTGGTGAAAGAACCGCCCCCTGCCAGAGCCCTGCTTCATGACAAACACCTCAACTGGAAATCCCACAAAGCTTCACTCACAGGCAGGAATAGGTTTTTGAGCAAGCCAGCAAGGACCAAACCAGACGGACCATCTCAGAACATAACCAGGAGCTGTCTGTCAGAGAGATATGCCAAGAATTTGCTTCACCCAGACCAATGCTAATGGCAATGGCTTGCTGCAGGTTGTCTGAATCAAAGTCATTCATTGTGCAAAACTGCAAACACATGAACTCCAGATCCCACACTGTGCATAGCTCACAGTGAGCTCATCACTGCAGGAAGACTTAGTGGCATTACAAAAGCCACTATTCCTGGATACTGACACCAAAACCAAGTATCTTAAGTTACCGACAGACTGGGACTATCTAATTTCCAAATTCTCCTTAACTCTTAAAAATGGCAAGATGTTTTAATAATCCACAGCAATGCTGACCAGAGAACCTGCCCAGACCTTGGAAGGAAGGGAACTGATGCTCAGAATTATCTGACTGAAGCCTGGTGGTCTGTCATAACTGGGAAGCCTTTGGTGGGCCACATAGAGAACTTGTTATTGATCTCCAAAGATTTACTCAAAAGAGTTTTTTTGGATTGGAAGGATATGTCTTGAGAGCTCAGATTTTTCTTTCTCCCACCTTTTTTTTTTTTTCTGTGGCAACAACAGCCTTCTCTTAGTGTGCTACAATGCTAAGCCTGTCATTCTGACTCAGCTGGTTTAATTTTTGGGTCTATTTCAACTAGTTCCTCTTGTTTCATGGGCTGATGAAAAAGCTGAAGTGCTGCTCTATATGGAATATGGTTTTTGTATTTTGTACTTTATATAGGCTGGATTTTCAACTGGAGTTTCAGCTGGGCTTGTGGCAGCTACAGCTTAAGCAAGCTTACTTCTGCTGAAGATCTAACACTGGATCTTCTTCTATCAGAAAGCAACCAATGAAGCCCTGCTGAAATATGAAGTATATTTTAAATAAAACTTTGTTAGAGCTCAGTTTCTTACTGTTGCTGTGCCAAGAACAGTCCACAAAAAAGAAGTTGACACTGAATAGATGGTAGACGTTAAATCTTACAGGTTTTATTTCAGAAAACAAAACAAACCAGAACTTTGCAGCAGATATAGGAATGCATCTCGTATTTCGTTACAAAGTGCCAGTGTCCTACTGAAGAACTGACAGCTTCACAAGCTGGTATATAGCATGGGTATGGTATGCTCAGGTATACTTTGTGTCTCACTTGAAGTTGTCACATCGTAGGACAAAAAAAAAGTCTCTCTGAAAGCAGGGTTAGCTGTACACGGAGCAACGAAAAGGACCCAACAAATGGTATCGGGGAGCGAACATTGGAGTGTCTGGCAGAAACGTGGTGCTTGAGCAGAAGGATGCCCTTCCACCCTGTGTTCTTCCAAAAGTATTAGTGGAAATGTATCTTACCTGACAGTTAAGAGTCAGTGTAATGCCAAGCAGCTCCAAGAAGCAACATGAGCAAGAGCTGGGTAACAAACCAGATCTAGGTGCACTGAGAGTTGGCTGAATTCAGCAGGTCTTTCATTGGAAGAACAAAATGAAAGCAGATGAGAAGATGGGAGTTTGAGGAATGAAAACAACTGTTTTAAGGTAACTTGGTAATAAAAAATATAGAATAGCGACTTCAAAGTCCCTGACTGGGCATATCATACTGAGAGAATACAGATTTCTTAAAATTCTTCAACGTTTTCTGCTCACTGAACCAGAGCTTTCCTCCCCCTTCCCCAAGTATGACCTTTACATGGCCTTTAATGCTGAAGCTCTTCCATTCCTGGTGTTTCTTTGCAGAGATACTGATGTATACCCAGTAAAAGGCAGTGCAAGATTGCATACATTTCTTCTTTCCTGAGTAAATGGCACATTGTTAAAAAAAGCGCCACAAACCTAAAGATTTCCCTTTTGCTACTTTAGATTCAGAGACAGCAGTTCTGCCCCTATGTGAACAGCCAGTGTCTACTGGGTTCATGAAGACTGTTCTTGGGTCTTCTTCGATCAAAAAAATCCATTGCAATCAAAGGGGTTTCAGGCATCCAAGGAGAGAAAAAGAGAAGATCCCCAACAGTCTAATTTTCAAGACCCAAGAGGGTAAAATATATGGGTAAAATAGAGTTCTGGTTTAAATAAGTTTCCAAAGTAGTGGGGGACCTTCGAGTTTAAACACTGATGTCACTTGCTACTTATTTCTAAAAGAGAATCCACTTTTGAGTAAGTTCTCTTAGTGTCCAAAGACCAAAAACATAGCAAGGGCTTCTTCACGTGGGATGACTTCTCTTATATCTTTGTGGATGAGCTTCCCAGGTGTGTAAAGAAGACAGAATCCAGAAACAGGAAGTGGATACCTGGAAAATTCAGGAGAAAAGGAAAACTTTTCTCCCACAGCCTAACTGCACCGAGTCCTGGTGCTCTCTGTCCCATAATCTCCAGCTTTATGCGATATAAATCCATTGAATTCTGGGGCACTTGAGTGGATCTATGGATCTTCCCAACAATGTCAACAGTACAAAAAATGTCAGCAAGAACAAATGGGCAGAAGTTCTTTGCAAAATAAGTGTCATCTTCACAGTCATTATGCAGAAGCTGAGTGGATGATCTGACAGGAAACTACAGCTTACAGTTCTGAGGATCCATATCTGGGTTTTGGCATCGTCCCTTTTCAGGTGAAAACAAGCTTGTTTAAGTATAAAAAAGCCAGCAAATTCACACTGCAGCCAAAAACAAATTCTGCAAATGCTGCTGCCTCAGCCATATGTTGAAGTAAACAACCATTTGATAGTAAAGCAGGTGAAGCATCAAAGAAGCTCCATTTGAATAGTATTTATTTGCAATCATTAGTTTTAAACGGGAAACTGTTTACAGGCACACGCTAGGTAACCAAAATAGAATGAACATAAAGAAATCTATTTAAAGGTCCTTATCAAATATTTCAAATATTTTATTAAATATTTTATTCAGTTGCATTATCACAGTTTAATGTACTTTAGCATGTTATACACATGACTTAACATGTGCACTTAAAAATATCAAATTAGAGGTTTTTGAAGAAAGTATGACATTCTATAAATGTGCTCATTGACTTATCTACACACAACTAAGAAGGCAGTAGCTCTGTTATACCATTGATGGAGATGAACTATTGTAAGGCATGTTTACACCAAACTTCAGAGAGAATAAAGCCAAATACTAGGTCAAAATTCACTGGAAATACATGTGAGAATAAAAGTTGAAGGACTGGGCTCTAAGAAGAAAAATCATGGCAAATCAGTTGTGTTAAAACTGTCAACAGATTCTGATTATTAAAAGCAAGCACTGCTGGGAAAGAAAGTTTTCGTAACATCCAGGTCAGCAGGATCTGTGTTTCTTTTGAGTGTGATTTTTGAAACTCACACCTTACGGTGTAATGTGTAGGAAAGAGACCGAAATCTAACAAGAAAGTTGGAAAACTATCATCTGAGAAACCTAAATTTGTTTTATGACCTAACATGGCAACACTTTTGTACAGAGTACATGTTGCAAGTCACTGCACTCCCATGCACGTATGTACACATACCCGTGCAGACACATGTACACATATGCCTCTCTTGCTTTTGTCACCTTCAAAGACCCAATCACTGATTAAAGTGTAGCAGTATGTAGGGGAAAACACAGTTTCAGTTGTGGAGGTGAAAAGAGTAGACTAGACCATTACATTCGGAATCCTGGTTAGTTAAAACCTGAACAGGTGTGGTTTTTCCAGTAGAGTACAGTGCGGGTGTGCTGGTATGTGCTAACAGTCAAGACCCAGAAACTACAATGGAATTCTTTGGAAGAACTCAACAAATGTTAAGCTATTTGCAGTCATTTTAAAAATTCCATCTGAATGAAGGCCCTAGGTCACAATGACGTGCCTCCCCCAGGAACAACACGCAAGCCCAAGCTCAACTCCAAGAGTGTAGTGGTCCATGATCGGGGCTCCTGCACTGTCACAGCACTAACAATGCTGCCCCTTAAGTAAGGAGCGTTTTCAGCCTAAGCTTAGGTGTGTTGCTGAGTGGAGATCTCATCCCAAGTGTTCCTAGATTTCTGCCTTAAAAGAATTAGTGGGGGAACATCAAATATACAGCCATCTCATAAGCTTCTTCAAAGCTGTCAATTCAGTAGAAAATACTGAGTACATAAATGACTATAATAGTACTTGGGTGAGAGCATAAACCTCACTGTGCCTTTTTTATTGGGAAATTCAGGGGAGGAGGCAAGTAACTCTTTCACAGCCTAAATGGACTCATGCATGGCACTCTGTGTCCTGAAGTGCCTCAGCATCCTGGCAGCTCTAGTTGACAGGTCCACAATATGTACAAGGTAAGTAGAATGCCACGAGTATTACAAAACATGGCAAAGACACCTAGGAGCTCTACAACCTATCAAACAAGCACGGCAAACAAACAGCATCTAATGGATAATGTATGGAATACAACACACAAGTTGCACAGCCATGTTTCCTTGTGAAATCAGGATTGCAAACGTAAACTCCAGAATGAGTTTCAAGAGCAGCACTTGGCTTACTCTGTCACCTCCGGAAACACCAGAAGTCCACCCACCCCATGATCACTGCATTTGCTGCTGTTACAAAATCTGATCTCACTGAACCAAGGAGAGCTAGTGGGCCCACGTCCTGCAACCCCCATGTGACTATGGCAGAAGTTAAACAAAAACGCTCCAGCAACAGAGTTTGGCTACCACCGTATACTCAGCCTTTATGTTTTCTGCACTATATAAAAGTCGCTCTTGGAAAATAAAGCACACAGCGATATACAAATGGTATCAATGGCCAAAAAGATTACATGATACGAGCACGAAAGCAAATGGAAGTTAATGAAAGTAGTCTTTTAGGAGAGGTAGCCATATTAGACTCAGCATTCAAAAAAAGGGAGTGCACTCAAAAGGGTCGACATACATTAGAGTGTCTTGTAGACCCATCATGTTTCTGGTTTTCCTACATTATTTTTTTTTGCAGAATGTACACACCCAGGCACACACACACCCCCACACACGCACCCACACACACGTATAAATACACATCTATCTTTTTTCTAATTCCCCTTTGTTGCCATACTGAGAATAAAGGCCAGTTTTCCTTTCCTGCTCTCTTAGCTGTCACAAGTCTATAACCGTTGCCTTCAGTCTGCTCAGTATCTGTACAGTAGCTAAACAGGCAGTGGAAATTAAAACTGCTTCAATTTATTATCCCATTGCAAAAGACAGCATCCAAACTATAAGGCATTCCCTTGTTCTGATGTGAGTTACAACTCTACTTGATACAAACTGCAGAATGCTCTTCTCAGCCTTGTGCTACAGAGGCAGCTTTCACCCAAATAATAAAGACCAAAGCCGAAATTTAAACACCACAAATTCACACACTTCTACCAGTCCCTTGTTCCTGTGCCCCTTTCCAACAACGCTTATCACTTAAATTTCAAAAGTCATGCAACAATGCTATAAAATAGAAACCCAAACTACCAAGAAGTCTCTTGCTCGTGACTTTGGGATATTGTATTAGTATAAAAGAGCATTCAGTCATCTTAAATAAATATATTCTTTTCTGAAATCACAGCACATTCAAGGGGTAGTTACTGCCATAAGCAGAACACTAAGTAATCTCCATAGATGTTTTTAGAATCATTTAGTTGGAAAAGACCTATAATATCATGGAGTTTTGATTGATTTGGTCTAATACGTGGAAAATAGCCTACTGTGGGGATAAGAATCTGCATCTCAAATGTTGTGCAGAACGTTTTTCCCATATTCGTATACAGTACTAGAACAATTAAGAAGACATTACAGTAATTTTCTCCCAGCTGCTTAGATCTGTAGCTTCAGCTACGAGAATGTATTTTGTTTACCTCAAAACTACATACGAAATATCGAAGATGACTAAATAAATAAAAGCTAAGGAAAACTGGGACAGTACTGCATTTTACACTTGAGACAAGATTCCCCCCTCCCATGGATAAGTCACAGAGGACAACTACAGTAAATGCTTGTCTTTTTTTTTTTTAAAGAAAGATTTATACACAGGTTCAGATCCAGAAAATAATGTGAAATGCATAAATATTGATAGCTTTAGCTAAGTTAAAATGGGTTCAGTAAAGTATGATACAACATATTCAGAATAAACAAAGCAGAAAAGCATCATATTTTGGTTTGCTTGAGATATACATAAGGTGCAACAATTTCTTCTCTAGAGGCATTTGTGGACAAGGTTTTAACAGGTAACAGTGTTTGCTGGTATACTGAAGTACACACAATAGCAATAAGATTTTCCAAAATGAAAGCAGCTGAAATTAATAAAAATTAAAACAAAACAAACAAGGAAAAACCCCAACCCCAATACAGTAAGATATTGGTCTGAAATTTTTGTTGTGCTAACAGACTTTGTTACCTGAAAATACTGATACTCCTTCTAGTAGATTCAGGGAAAATTCTAGCTACTCAAATCAAGACATCACTCAGAGAACCAACAAAGGCAAATGCCTAGTGAACTATAAAGCTTTGCAGGATTTCTGCTACTCTCAGTGCCTAATCGCTTAAAAATTAAGCATATCTACAAAAAGGTTTATAAGTATCTGAAAACAGTCATATCCAGTAAACTGACCCAACCCTACCCCCTCTCTAAGGGAAAGTCAAGGAAAAGCAGATCAAGTAAGATATTAATTTATATAGAAAAAAGTAATTTTCTGTTTCTTTTAAAAAAGGTACCATTAATATACAGAAATATCTCCAGGAACAATATTGAAATTTAAATCGAGGAAGGATGGGGTGCTTTGACAAAAATATATCTACTCTAAAGGTTTCTAGAGAAATAAGTTAGTACCATTGTCAACGTGAACGGCCTGCACTGTAACATATTTGGATTTCAGCTAATTATAAAGTGGTCCAAAACTCCAACAGCCACCCTGCTGTGACCCACAAGTTTTTAGTCTTTTAAGTTTTTGCTGTCTTGTTAAAATAACTTATAAAACTTTAATAAAATCTTATTTCAAATACCGCCATAGGCTGCAGTGGCATTTTAGGGGCTCTTATTTACCTGAATTTTTAAAAAAACCTTTTCACCGACTCATTGGCTTGTAAATTTTGTTGTTCTTCTGTTGTTCCCTTCTTTCCACACATGCATCCTCGATGGTGCTGTTTCAGTGACACTTCCCCAGCTACCTGCCTTTTGTCAGACCTTTAATCCTTTCTTGAAACTCATGTGGTACATTGTATATTGTTTCCTGACACTGAACCAGAGACTTTCTATTAACTACAACAATGAAAGGCTAAACCTAGCAAGCATTAATAGAGTTACGGTCCATATGGCTATTACATCAAATTAGTTACAAAATAACCCCAAAACACATTATCAATTCAGTCAAGTATAAATAAGAATGCCTGATAGAATGATGTAAACTCGCATCATTTAAAGACTTAATTCAAAGAACTTCAAACGCAATCTAATACTATCAAAAGTTCAGCCGGTATGACGAAGACTAATAGAAAATTATTGCTGGAGTCCAATTTGGTAAATTGTTGTGCTACAATGCAAAAAGTAGGGAAACATCTTGTGCTATAGAAGAAGTACCCTGTTGAATTTGTAGCTTTAGATCAATTACTAGTGATCATTTTGCATCTATTGGTAGGAATCAATGCTTGGTTATACAATAGTGTAAGTCAAGATAGTGAAGGTAACAGGCCAAGTGATACATTTGGCCTGCTTTTGGGATGTATTTATGAGAGCAAAACACAAAAATTCAACACAAGCAAAGACAGAAACTGGCAGATGGATCTGTTTGGTAGTCTGAATTCAGTCAAACGCTATTCTTCGGTTGTAGTTTATCTGTATACAACTTGCCACTTTACCAACACGAACTGTAATTGGCCCTTTATGCAAACTCTGAAGCTGATTTGGACTGTGCATAGTAACTACAACAATGCCAGTGTCTGTAAAATGTAACATGTATGTGTATTGATGTACACGTATATCGAAAAGTCATGGTTTTAGGTTTTTCAGAACGGTGAAATAATACTAAGGTCACTTTTGAAAAACGCATTTGCAGTACTTTTTGTTTACAGGAAAGTTTCACCAAGTCGCTCAGGTATCTATGCAAAAATAAAGGAACCCTCCAAGGCATGAAAGACAAGTCAATTATCTGCAGTATTTTCTTTTCCATACACCACTCTTTTTTCTAATGCACATCATCCTGGTTATTCAAAGCTAAAATAAAAAGAAACAAACCCAAACATAGCCTGTCAGAATTTTTCCCAGTAAACTCTACCACTCTGGTGGCAAATATAAAAGTGCAGAACATCTGGACCACATGGCTGCCCAAACACCGCTAACAATGGTACATCTGTCCAGGCTGCCTTGAGTTCTCTGGAACAGGTTTTAAATTCACTCTACAATATAAACGTAGGCATACCCTATTAATATAAACCATCTTAGAACTTAAATCTTCATGTACAAAAATGACTAAGAATATCTAATAATAACTAGTGCAGTGCGTCAGTGTTTTTGTTGGTTTTTTTTTTTTTCTTTTTTTCATTTTCATTTAGAGTAACTAGGTATTATATGAAACTAGTTGCCGTACTCTCTGGTTGGTAAAAGAGATGCTGTGAGAGCTAACAGTAAAGGCAGCCTTTTTCACACCAACCATCTATTTACTGTTTAAAAGCCTTCAATAGAAAGCAAGCTCTGGGATCATTCCACTCCATTTCTGTTCATTAATAGACAATTAATATCACCCTCCTACATACTGGGTTCCGATTTGAGGACCTGGCCCAAGTAGCTAACGTCTGGCTTCCAGTGAATTCTGGGCCACTCAGAGCAATAAGCACTTTATTGCAGTCTCTAGTTCCATCATATGGACTGACTAGCTTCCCTTGGTAAAGACAAGGCTAGGATATTAGGTAAAGCACAATGTTTTACAATAAAGTGGAGCTTCACTGGTCAGCGCAGGAAATAAGCACTGGAGCCTGAGACATTTCATTTGGCTGTCCATCGTGTGGGAGAGGTGTGGGCCTCTGACTTCTGCAAAAGAAGAAAAGAAAAGCCACCCATCAGTATTTGGAGCATGGGAGGTGCTTTTATCAGACTAGAGGAGATGGAAAGCAGCACGTTGTATGGTTTAACACCCGACACTACAGCACCATAACTCCTAGCTTGCTGCAGGTGCTCACATACTTAGGTTACATGCTCTTTTTAGAGGTATTCCTGCAACAGTAACACAGTACCCTGAGGACAACCTACATCACAATGCAAAGGTAGGAGAAAACAAGACATGATGGTATTTGACAACACAAATCAAAATGCACAGCTGAAGAGGAAGTTAAGAGCTGCTACTCATTTTGTAAAGGAGCGTCTTCAGCCCTCAGAAGCAGAGCATACAGCTCATGCATGGCAAAAGAAGGTAAATGCACAGAGGTGTGTATCATGTTAATGAGAGTCAACAGCCAGGTTTTAAGCAATATGGAAATATACTCATGAGCAGAACTGCACATTGGGATTACTCCAAGTTATGTGACTGATCACTACATCAGCCTAATACAACATCCATTTCATTACTACAGCAGTGTTATTTTAAAAATGATCCCCTGGCACAGGCTATCATAAAAATAAACCATGCCAGAATTATGTGCTGGAAATCAACATCAGTCTTTGTAGCAAGTGGACTTGAAGAACTCCTTTGCAGCTTGCCTTTTAAAATACATACACAAAGCATGCCACCATCTGTCATCTACTCTCACAAGTGAGGTTCTTTTTTTTTTTTTTTCCTGGGGCCCGCTTCTTATTTACATCATGGCCACTCTACCTCACTCTGGCATAGCTAAGACCCCAGGAGAAACAGAGGTACCAACACAACTGGAATGCAACGCAGTGGCCTTGGCACAAACTGCAGCTCAGGCTCACAGTGCTTAACCAGGGCATGCACAAGGTAAATAAAGCTAAACAGAAGATTTGAAATGAAAACCACACTGCCAAAGGGTTTCCATCTCCCAAGGCTCTGTGGAACTATTTAATAATTAAATTCAGACACTGAAGAAACGCATCAAGAAAATCTCTAATTCCGTTCTTTGTGTTTCTGGCTATTTGCAATTAAAGTGAATTGCAAACAATAAAAACAGACAACAGAGTAGAAAACAGGGAAGCATCTAGCTGGTAAGACTTAAGTTTCTGTTTTGACTTCCATTTGCCAAATATGTGAGGGACACAGCTAACTTTGTACTGGGAGAGAGTCCTCCCCCGTTGCCATTTACCCCCAGGGTGATTACAAGCTGGCATTTCCAACAGCTGCTGGACAGTTGCCAGTTTGGTGTTATCAGGCCTTATAGAAGGTGCTGCATTATTTTAGCTTCATGATGACATGACAAAAGATGGGATTAAAAAAGAAACACTGAAACAGGAGGCTCTGCAAAACATTTGGTCATTTCAAGAGGGACAAGAGAAGGACAAGTACTCTTAGTGGAATAAAGAGGAGAAAGCCACAGCAAAGTAAATCCTGTTGCTTTAGTGCAATTCTGGTCAGTGTTAATGGCATCAATGACACCAAAAGGGTGAGTGAGAGCAAAGCATAGCACAGCACTTCTGCAAGCCTCACTCTGCGGCTTCTGACTACCAAAAAATGACAGAAAGAAGTTCAGACTTTTCTCATGGTAACAGACACTTTTTTGCAACTCTGTGAGAAAAGGCCCAAAACAATGCTGCTTAAGCAAGACAACGGCTTCTGTAGAGAGCAGCTAGCAGACAGGGTGCAATTCTGTTTCTTGTAGGGTCTCTAAGCTCTTAAAAAGCCTTTCAGCGTGTCATGTCCAGCCTGAACACAAAGGATTTGGTTTACCAATGGAGGCCATGAGAACAACAGTAAATCGAGATTGTAAATGGTTTCAACGGTGTCAACTGCTGCCTTGTGGAGCTTCTTAAGCAGCCAGCAATCTCTCAAATGCCATCTGCAGAGGCTGTGATGGTTTCAGACTGGCCCAGTGCTTCCTCAGTGCCTCTCCACTGCAGGAGATGATGGGGTTTCATCTCCAGTAAGCTGCACCATTGATGAACAACACTGAATTATCAAGAGCCAAGGAGGACTTGCTGTCACTGGTTTCCTCTCATCACAGGTCTGACCATGCTGAACTGATTCAACAGCTCAAGTAACCTGTACATTCCCCACGTTATCTGTGTGGACAGTCTACTCAGTAACTGAGAGGACCAACCCAAACTACCGTGGCTTTTGATCACTCAGAATTGTTCTGATCCATGCTGTTCTGCAGATGTTTTGCCTTCTACACAGCAAAACTCAAGAGTAAAAATAACAAGTTAGCTTCCTTCAGCCATGTTCAGCATAAAAACTTCATCTCAAATTGTATGAAATTTCCTCCACAGTGTTAGGCCACCGAAAAACATGAATGAGCATGCAACAGCTGTTTAAGTCTGCTATTATGTGACAAATACCATTAGATAATTCTCAATCATTAGGATCTCAAGCAGCATATGAACCTGTTTTTATACAAAAACACATATGTAGGCTTACCAGGAAGGATAATTTTTCTGACTGCTAAATAAGATTACACTGCCATTTAGGCGAAGACTTAACACTACTAAGCAAGTGGTGTAAAACAGACATTCACAGAAAGCTGTGGAAGAGAAAACGCAGGCCAAATTAAACAGTCTGCTATTCACATGCTTTCTGAACAAAGTGTCAGTCACACACTATTGACTTGGACAACAAGGGGAAAAGGAAACCATACCTGTGTACATTTTCCATGGCTGCTACTTCCGCCAGAGCAGCTAAGCTAAAAAATGCAGACACCGCTGGCATATCTGATGTAATACTATGATTTTCTTCTGCCTCTGCGTTTCTGGAGCATTCACTGTTGCAATCTGTTTCTGCACTTGATGTTTTTTGAAGAGTACTTTGTGGCAGCTCTTTTGGCTTCTCCTCTGCAAAGAAAGTTAAGTTTGCAGATATTAAATTCACAGCAGCCTACTGATTTACCTTTAGGACTTTGATTCTGCAAGTGTAATCTGATTCATGCTGCAACCTCTTCTGACCCAAGCTATTGGCAGAAGCACAGTACTAAGGTTTATGAAGTAGTTTACTAATTTTGCATTCAATTGAATTTGATCTTTTAGGTCAGATAAGAGAGCTTTTGTGTATGCAGTAGTCCTGAAAGATCACCTTAACTGCAGAGAACTCTGACAAGGACTCTGGCATGGACTGCTGAATTCACTTTTACAACCTATAATTAGGTGCAGTGTAATTTCTTTGCTGAACTGGAAACAAGTTATGAAAGGTAACCATTTTCCATTTCTCTCTACATCAGTTCTCAGAGTGAAATATCCAAGGACAGAATTTAGATCTGCTCACTCAAACAAAAGAAGTTGGCCATTATGGACTGATTTCCCAGTTGATTGATACCTGTACTTTAAAGAATGATCTTTCTAAGTAGGTATGGAAACAAGCTAACTGAAAAACACTTTCCCTGATAGGTTGCACATACCCTTAAACCTTCTCCAACCACTCAGTTTTAATAAAATTTAAACCCCAGTTTCCTTACCCAGTGTCCCTCCTGCTGGTGACACTCGACCATCTGCTGTTCGGACAAGATGTGTGATCTTAGTTTTCCTTGCTTTTCTTTTCTGGCTGCCAACTAAAGGCTCATGCATCATTGCTGGCTCTGGAGTGTTTAGGGCAGATATAGAAATTTTATTCTTCCAGGCAGACTCACTGGAATTTCTGTCTTCTAATAGTATGGCTGGAAAAGGACAAAAATGTAATTTTACATACAGAATAATTCAGCTACCAGCTATGCTGATTTACCATTTTGCATCTTTCTTCATAAAACCTTCTTCACAGGCACTCAGAGCATAACCCACGGCAAGATGTGATCTGAATGCCACAGGTGTTTGCAGGGGAGCAGTAGCATCTGTTCCTAAAGATATCCTGGAAAGCAGAAACCTGTGAGACGGGCAGTAGCACTTCAGTGGGAGCAGGGTATCAGTCTGTATAAAACACTCCGCAACAGAAGATGCCAGCAAGTAGCTTAGAGACAAAATGTATTTAAGGAACAGCAAGAATCCTCATGTAAGCTTATCTTAGCTCACAGATGGACTCACAAGCAGAATCCAGGAATTCCTGACTAACCCCCAGTCTTACCTCTGTAGTCACTCTATGTCAGCTCCTCTAAGCAAAGGTAAATACTGCCTTTTACAAAACAACAAACCTTAAAAACACCCCAGAAAGGCAGCAAATAGAAAAGCAGAGCTAGATCACAGCTGAAGACAAGAATGCTAAAAAAAGGAAGTAAGCATGGGATAAAATACTGTGAAAGAAATACTGCCTACATAAAGTGAAAGAGTGATAAAGGTACACTTTAAATCTTTCTCAGTAGTTCCATTGTTGGCATTTCAAAGTAGCCTTTTGCCCTGAAATTTGGAAAACGATTCCAAATTTTCACTTGACTGAAGTTACTTTGATCAGACAGCAACCACAAAACATATTTATTTAAGCTTCCAAAGCCTGAGATCAGCATGTAGTAGTCAATTGTTCTCCATTTACACTGATTTAATAAGCCATACTGCTGATCCCATGGGGTATCAGTAGTCCACATAGCAAATCTGTGACATTATTTTTCCTCCTGTGATAAAAGCATTATGAAGCCTACCCCATGTGCAGTCAGTGCCAGCTAGGGTTAGAAAGAAGCTACAGGTAGCAAATGAAATGCTCAATTAATTTTTTACAGATGCCTGGCTAGCCCGTTTTGAAACTGGGAACACTCCTGGCATCTGCACCAAGTCCTTGAGACATTTTTTTCCCAGTGTACTGCCATCCTGAATGATTAAGCACTTTTTTCATAATGCCTGCCTGCACCTTCTCTCCCAGCTGCATTTTCCACTTGTTATTTTCTTTACTACCTGTCAGGCTATAGCCCATCTCTTTGCAAAAGTCCTTTATATATTTTTCACAGCTGTTACTGTGTCTCCAGTTAGCTTTCTTTTGCACAGAGTTTCTTTTAATCTTTCTTCCCATTTTAAAGACACGTGTTCACTTTTTGGGTAGTTCGACCAGCAAAAATTACACACACAAAACTGAGGCTGGAGTGTAAACAACTGCCCTTTCAGAAGGGATAAGCACTGAACAAGACCAATTTCCTGCACTGAGACTGGCTGTGTCACACAGGAGCACCCAACCCCACAAACAGTGCACAACAGCCAGGCAGTCTGTGTGACCTTTGCCCTCTTTCATTTTAGTGTGTATTTCTGTTTATTGTTTGTTCTGTAGATTTAATGAGCTTCCGATTCAAAGATACAGGTCATAAATAAAACCTTTATCTTCTGTGAGCTTCTTTAACTGTTCATTGTGTGAGGATGTGGATGAGATGAAGAGAAGAGCTGCAGCACATTTTATCTTGTTAGCAGTTGCCCTTTGCTCTTTTGTTTTAATAGGAAGAGACCTTTTAATGTTTTATGGCATAAGAATACAATCAGGTCAAGTACATACGTGTAAAAACACTTGGAAACATTCCAAACCTTAATTTGTTTACGACCTTAATTCACCTTCCTATGTTCTCTAGTAAAACATTTTTGAACTTGTGCAACGCTCTTTATCTTGAAAAAAAGCACACAGCTTCAAGTAGCACTTCTCAGCTATAGCTGTTAACCTTTTACAGCACAGCAGAGCTATGCTGTAAAACTTGCTTTTTGTAAAGTGAGCAAGAGAAAGCACACAAAAAGATCTGCTGTCCAATTAAGTAGAAACACCAATGACTGCAAATATGACTTTCGAGTCAACTCAACTGGACTAATAGAGAGATGTTCAGATAAGCTTTCTACATTGAGACCAAAATTAATTGGAATGTATAATTAAATAGGCAGCTTTCTCTCTAGATTTCTTATTTGGGAATTCAAAATCGTTGATTATGTATTAATGTAATGGTCTGGTTGTAGTCCAAGACTATTTGTTAATTCTGATTTGCTCTAATTAGTACTTTGACAGTGCTGTCTAATTCTAGCTTGAATGAGTTTTAATGGTGTTAATCTTAGTACTACAACTCACTTTGGTTTTTTTACATTTAACAGAAAAATTAAGATTATTTCAAACAATAAACAACACATGATAAAACCCAACAAGATTCGCTAAGTGTTTAATTAGATGTGTTGTATGCCAGGTCACTAGACATGATCCACAATCACACCAAAATCTGCCTTTACTGCACTTACTTTTCTTCATTCATAACACAGATGCACACAGGCACACATACTTTTCAAGATGACAAAACACGAAGCCAGCATGACCTCTGCTGGCCTTCCAAGTGTCTCCTCTTCATCTACATGAATACTCAAACTCCTTCTTCCAGCAAAATTAACTTCATACAAAAAACAAAATCACATTATCACACAGATTTGTGATTCACCACAAGCACAGACTAACTACAAAAAGGAGTTAAAATTTTCATTTAGTATTTGCCTCACTAAAACCTTGAAAAAATACTTGAATTGAAATGAAGATTCCAGGATTCCCAGCTTGAGTGCTGCAGAATATGGGACAGTGTAGTTCAGCATTTTAGGGCCCTGCTGCCTAGGAACTCGTGAGGGTGAAGTTACGTGGGCAGCACACGATGGCAAGGCTGTTCAGCGCCTGGCAAGGCCATGCCCACACTGCACTTTGATCGACGCTTCCCTTTCAGTGTCACTATATGGCACTATATGGCAAGACCACAGATTTCTTCCCCTTTGTAACTCAGGGGAAATTGCATTTCCTCATATATATAAATATATATATATATGCACTGCCTTTCCTCTGATGATTTACATATGGGCTGTGTAAGGTCTCCCAAGTTTCTCATGCCTTTGCTTTAGTCTTGGGAGACACATTGCAAAGGCACAGACACATCTTTAATGTTTAGACAACTATGACATTATTCACATGCTTAACTTCCAAGGACATGCCTCTGTGTTGTGCTGGAACAAGGCTAGGGTACTCAACACTTGCCAGGCTTGAATCTTTGATCATAGTGCACACTTCATTTTGTATCAAAACAAGCTGATTTCTTTTAAACAAATGCAGGGTTTGACATTTTGTTTAGCCACATTTTTATCTGCAGGTTTTAAGGCATTTGTATTTTTTACTCTTTGCTGTATTAAACACTTTCTGTTTCCTTTTCCATAGGAGAATTTAAACAACCATTTTTCTTAATAATTTGTCTACAGGTCTATTAATAATTCAGGAACAAAATCTGAATGCCACCCAATAAAAGCTATGTTAATGTATGATGCCTTCTTTACACCGGCATTGAAGTAAGATCGCCAATTCTCACAAGCAACTCCCACAACACATTTGTTGTACAAATACAACAAAACAGAGCAAGTAATTTCAAAATATTTGCACCACTGAACGCAGCAGAGCTGGCAGAGCCTATGTGGGAAAACAGTGCATGTGCATCACAGGTGACAGAAAACATGGATTCAGGAAAGGAGAGGAAATTACATGGCTGAGTCTTAGGGAAATATATTAAGTATAAAGGTACCTGGGGGAACTAGAGATAGGAACAGCGGTTTTATTATCTTAGAGACAAACATGGATAGGGAAAAAGTAGACAAAATTAATGGAGCTAAGTAAGCAGAACCAGAGAGGTTCTTACACACAAGAACAATGCGGGAGAGAACTCCCCCTGTGGAACAGCTAAGGAACAGCCTGGGCATGACTTGGATAGTGTGGGCAACATGATTACAAAAGAAAAAAAAAAAGGAAAATAGGACCCAGGGAACAGGCCCCAGGCTAAGTTATAATCCTGTACATAGTGCACACTTGAAAATGCCTCTCAGAGTTCTGAATATGTAGGTATGCAGGATCACAATACTGTAACAAGAGAAAGACTTCGGAGAGCTACCAGCAGGATAGTGGGCAAAGCAAGTCCAGAACATAACTTAAAAGACTGTGGAAGAAATCTTCCATTAGAGGCAAACAAAAAGCTGGTTAAGATTTCTACAGAGGCTGGGTTGGAGGTCAGTATTTTTGAGATCTGATGCAAAAACAAGCACTTACATCCTGACCAAGTTCCTACACCCTGACCATGTGTAGTCTGCAAAGGTCTAGCAGCAGGAAATCACAGGGATAGGAGATAGGGACATGGATAACTGCTCTGGCAAAGGGATAAATAATATTGTCACTGATATAGAAGGGATGTAGATAAGAGCAATCAAGGGACTAAAGAGCCATGAGCTGTGGAAGATAAAGAGTTCAGGGCCAACTGCAGAAATGCCCTTGTCAGCTCTGCTGCATGGTGTCTGGAACAGGGAAACTAATTAAAGAGAGATGCCCAGTAAAAACAAAACAGCATCATACTGGAATAAGGTAATATGATCAACTGGAGCCAGGAGGTAATGGAATTATGTCAGGGAAATAAGTGACAATCAAAGACTAGAGATCTGAGGTGTCTCTGTCTAGAAGCATTTCTTCAAGACTGAATTGAGAAAGAAGGCAGCCCAAAACCTCAACTAAGTAATACACCAGTACCTGTGCCCGGAGCATTAAGCTTCTTTCTGTGCTTAAATTTTCTGACAATTTTGTGGAATAAGTTCTTTTTCTGAGACTGGAATGAACCTACAGACAACATTAATACATACATTTAATTAGCAGCTTCAAAAGGAGTACAACAGTTGTAGTATGTACTGTACAATCTCCCCTTCCGCTAATACAAGTTGCCATTTCATGGGGAAGGACAAAATCTGATCTTCTGCCAGAAGGGACCCTGGAGGCTAATAGTAAACAGGTAAACATGTCATACTGGCACCTGAGAATATAACTTCTGACTCCATGAGAAGCTTCATCCATACTTCCCAACTGAACAGTCTAGACACAGTCACCGTGCAGGAATTGACAGGATGGCTGGCTGGGCTACACTTGTTTCATGGGGACAGCAAGTCATGGAGACTTTAAACAAATGCCACTTGTGAACATTCAATCCAGAGAAAATCCATGACTGAAAAAACTGACCTGAAACTCTTGTTGTTAGGCAGTGGACCCTGATTTCCTACAGAAAGTTGAAAACAACTTCTAGTGTTACTTTACTTCTTATTGTTATACAGCCATCTGCAAGTGTAAAGTAAATCCTTTTCTCCTGCTCATCCCTCTCTATTGGAAATACTCTACATGGCTCTTCCTCTCCCTAGCACTTCAGCAATTGCCACAGGATTTAATCCCTGGCTTGCCCATTATGCTCACTGAGGGCGGTAGGGATTTCCTCCTGGGAATACTTGCGACAGCCAACAGCAGCTGCCTGGGGAAGCAGCAGGGAGGAAGATGAACTGTAAGTGCAGTCCCTCCACATTTCTGGGCATATGCCTTCTCCGCTCTCATGAAGTTCCCTATTTTAAAGAATCTAATCAAACAGAGAACACTTCAACAAGATCCTAAGAAAATCAGGACAAACAGGCTGTGTATTTTTGCATCTTTCAGGAGGAAGGCACTGTATTTTTAGGTCACGATCTCTGGAACATCACGGCATGCGATCCCCAGGCATCCGAATGCTTTGAACCGAGCCAGAAAAGCCCCAGAGCAAAGACCGAGAGGAATGCCACAAAGCAGCATCCATTTTAAGCTGATGCTTTATTTCTAGCCCCACAGGCCACAGACAAAAAAAAAAAAAAAATTGTAGACAATCTCTTTCCCAAATGAAAGCACACTATGCATTCCTCTCTTGGCCATCCCCAAATGAAAGCTTTAGTGCAGCGCTTGGTGCATAAGTGAGCATTTCTTCACAGTACAAGGCAGAAATAATGACTATGCCTGTTGCTCACTTTTGCATACAAGCAGATTAGTGAGTCACTGCAGACAGCTGACTTCTGTGTGGTGGGATGTTTTGGCACATATGCCATTGGAAAGAAGGAAAAAAAAAGAAAACAGCCACAGCTCCAGCAAATGTCGGAGCAGGCCATCTGCACAGATTCAGTATAGCAGAATCTTTCTCAGCCATTTGGTGACATTATTATTGTATATGCACATTCCCAGCTCAAAATGCTTGAGGTGGATTTTGTCAAAGCCTTTTGGCTTGTTCAGTTCTGTTCCCACTGAAGAAAGACCCCCACTGATTTCAGTGGGAGCAGAATTTGGACAATTTGGAAAGCTCTGGGGAAAAAACTGCTTCTCAAGTTTTCCCTTATTACTGTGAATCTGAAACAGCTTTGCATTACAGGGCTCTTCAGGTGTTTTTATACTAAAGAACTGGCTGAAGTGAGGACTGGACATGACAAGCACAGCAGAAATAGTTGGTGGGCACTGACCCACTGATTTTCCCCTCAGGAGTAGGAAAATATCCTGATAATCCTGGCTGTGTTGTTAGGTAGCAGATCAGGCCTGTTGTAGGTATAGGTTAATGACATTTGACAGAAAATCAATCCAGTACCATTTACTCCAAAATAAAACTTATTAAAGCACACAGCTACAGTTGGGGGTGAGGTGCTGAGAAACACCCCAAACCCAACAAACCAAAAACATTTCTCTGTTTTTATTCACCTAACATTCTGGGGAAGGTTTAGTGTGCAGCACTCCAACATATTTTCTAAATTTTAAATTTAGTAGACACTGATCTGTAATTAAACTGCAAAATTTAAATACTTATCTATGAACTGAGTGAGAATGCTTGGGAAGTTTATAATCTTGCACAAGCTCATTCAGAAAAAGCAGAGAATGATTTCAAAGAGTGTTTACTAAACCAACACCTACTGATTATTATCTGTTGTTTGGAAATATCCAGAGGCCTCAACAACTTGTAGGCACTATTTGTGCTGGACATCTCTTCCAATTACCTTATAGACAGAAATCCAAGGAAAAGCTGAGCAGTAGAAACAACTCCATATAACACAGTAATGCAGAGCACAGTAGAGCAAAGTTAAGGTCTCCCACATCCCAACACAGTCACACTACACCCATAAAACTACACTGACCCTTCATGGTTCATGCTCATCACACTGCAAGAATTAGATGTTAATTTTGCTTAATTCTAATGGTGTAAAAAACCATGACAATTCAAAAAACCCTGAACCATTCCAAACCAGGCTCTGTTATTTTGCACAATATATCAATTTCATTTCCTGCAATACCTGCAGGAGCTTGGTATGCAGACTTTGATGTGCTACACTTTTGGAGGTCAGTATTCCCTAAGTCTTTGAACTCATCACATTTTGCAGGCAAGCCAACAGCACAACAAGGCTGAATAGCCTGTCAGTACATCACAAATTAAATTGAGGATTCAGCTTAATAAATGTTTGGCTCAGCTGGAACAGTTTCCTTACTAAGCTAGCAAGCTTGCTTGTATGCACTTTGGGTCAGGTCATTTCAAATCCACAACCTGCATCCTAATTTTACACATCCTAACAAAACCAAAACATTTAAATCCACCTACTGTCATGAAATATTTACTTTTTAGCAATCTTTCTTTTCCAAAAGAAAAGCAGTTTGTTAGAAAGTTTTTCAACTACCTCTTGAAAGCTGAACTTTGCTCTCTAGGGAGTTGGAATGACTGACACAAGCTGTCAGCTTGCCCAGCTAACGTGAGTGAATTCAACGCTCACTGAAATCAGGAGCAGATATCACCAGCTCCATCTGGATTTAGTTCAGGGCTGCAGTTAGATGTTCACTACAGAAAGAGCAGTGTCACTATCAGATATTCCTGCCCTGGGGCTGCTTGTTGCAACCCCACAGCTCAGTTGGTGGAAAAGTTCATGTGACTGTTTACCATCTGCTTCAGTGCAAAGTCAGCTGGCTTAATTCAAAGAGCCCTTATTGTCAGCCACAGGCAAATGCTCCACGGTCGTCTCCGCAGGGCTGTGCCAAAACTACTCATATCAGGCTTGTAACCCGCCTGCAGTTATGTTTCTGACCTTCCCTTCAGACATGGCTGTATATATTTCAAAGCTTTTTAAGTGATGCTAACAAAGATAAAAATTAAATTCTAATGCCTGAGCCCAACCAAAAGCAGAATGCAGTTCTGGGCTACCTGACTTGAGGCAGCATTCTAGGGTGCCATTTCCAAACAACACAGTGCCTGCAGAGTTTTTAAACATACAGACACCTGAACAGGTAAATACTGTGGTGAGAAATCCAATGAGCTGCTGTTACAACTTCAACTGCCAGATCATGCTATATGAGGAGATCTTGTTCCCAGCAGATGTTGCTTAATTAACCAGTGTGTTATCATAGTGTAAAGCAATTCATTCATGCTCATTTAAGAAGTTCTGTCAAACACACACCATAAACAAAGAATTAAAGGCAGTTGAAGTCAGAATGGTATTAGCACAAGTCTAATTTTGCAAAGTGGCTGTTCCACATCTAATTACATAAATACAAAAATCAATACCAAAATTGGCATGGGCTAGAGAAGAACAGCTGCTCAATCCTGCACACTGTAATGTGATTATTTGTGAAACATTCTAAAGGCATACATCTAATCCAGGGTCACCTGTCTAAAGCAGCCGTATTAGATCTGAAAACCTGTCAGTCAGTGGAACCACCATAGTAGACAAAAAGGAAACGAGTATCACATCGTGAACTGTGCCTGATGAGGATCCTTTTGAGCATCCCTTTGTCTTGTGGAATTACTGGTACACCATTCCTTCATTTTGTGATGTTTGTACGCTGTACATATGCATCAGTATTGTTCATGGAGTCTAAAAGTAGTTTTTTCCACTACATTGTCACTTCTCTACTATCTCTCTGCCACAGGTTGTCTGCATATGAAACAACCAAATGTGTCAAGAGTTTCTCCCTCCATGAGCCTCAGCATGGAGGAGCCACAAGTGGAGCTGGGTATGGAATCAGTTTTTCTGTCCTCTAACCTTTTTTATCATGTCAGGACATTGTGCTTCAAACTTATGACAGAGGTAAAATCTTAATAGAAAAAAATTCCAAATGTTTCATTGAGACATCTCTTGTATCTTATGTTTTAATTTATAGAGTCTAAAATTACAGTGAAATGCAAACTGGCATAAAACTACATTTTGAAAACTGCCAAAATATAACCTTTGATCATCTCCCTTTTTTTCTCAATCTTCTCTTGGGAAAACTTGTCAAATGCACTTACCTCACAAATATTCATGTTTTTGATAAACTTTCTTGCTGTGAGGAATACATTTCATGTACAAACTCTAACCAGTTCTACTCTTCATGAAAATCAGGAGTCAAGAGTAGTCTGAAAACTAACCCAGGTGAGAATCAACTAACTTCAGTGCTAGGAAACTTCTTCTTTGACTTCACATTTTTCACATATAACAGTGAAGTAAGGATGCATAAATTCCTGAGCTTGTCATAGCATTGTTGTTACTTAAGAATGTATTGCACATGGCAATTTACCTTTGTTGGATTTTGGTAGTTCACATGAGCCGCTTCCAACCTTTCGCTTTTTCCTCGGAACAGCTGAATTTCTCCTGTCAAAGGTAATAGGACTGTATTGAGGGAGGCTGTTGAATTTCTTTGCAAATTCTTCTTCCAATTTTGCTAAGCTAAATGGGAAACAAAACCAATCAAATTAAATGTAACTCTGTTTCTGGAGAAAAAAATATATTGTTTAAAAGCATGTGTGAGTATATACACACCTGTCTACACAGACAGAGGTGGAAAACAGATAAGCACACACACACTGTAAACATCAAACTAGTATATATTAATCCAGCTTTGGAATGAGAATGTACACTCCAGCTTCTGCATTTGTAGCTCAGTACAAATTGATTACCTTATCTGCATATGTTAAAATTAGAAAAAAAATAATCAATGTCATACTGATGACATTTAGCTCTGTTTGCTGCACAGATTTGTACAAGAGATTTGTCTGTTCTGTGAGGAGAATGAACAAAGACAGTAAAGCCAATAAATAAACCAATAAAATAACTTCATATTAACGTTCTTACACCAGAATGAAAACATTTCAAACTAGAAGAAAAATGTCAAACTGATCAGTCCTCTGTGAATATTCTGAAACATGATGCTTTGGGGTGGGAATTAGTTTTGTATTTATTCTGGGTGATTATATTTTCTCCCCTCGTATTTGCTGTGAGACAAAAAATGCAACCAGCTCATGCTTCCATGAAACCCAACATGCCTCATATCTCAGCCCAACCTGAGTGACTGTCACTAGACTGCCTACAACTCAAGAAATCCACAGACATGGTATTACTGTTTCTAATAACCAGATGAAAACAAAGCAATCGAGTAGGATGGCTACGCTGGCTTGCATAAGCACTCTGTTCCAGCAAATTTTTGCAGCCAGGCAGGAGTATGAATTGTGCTTTAGTAAAGGGTAGCGTGCACAGCTAGGCAGGCTATAAATAGCACTGCCAATGACAGGAGAACAACAACATTTTCTGACTGTTTTTAATTCTCTTTGCTATGAAAAACCTCAATTTGAAAAAAGTTTGAATGACTGCTGGAGGGATGGCCCTTACACACTTGAAGTGTCACAAGAAACATGGTGCTTCTCGCTGCTCTCCGAAGCAGCACTTCAAACAAATTGCATTCTGAAAGCTTTGATACACAGAATGATACCTCACTGTATCTCTGTAATCATTACTTCTTTCAGCAAACAAACTTCCATCTTAAAATACAGCCTTGGTTCTTGGCAGACTCTGTGCACAGTGAGGTTTTTGTTTGTGTGTGTACATGCATATTTTGGTTTGGTTTTAAATCACAAAGGTATCTGACATCAGTGGTGCTTGCTACTGCTATCTTTCTCTTCCATGTGGATTTTCCCTGACAACCTCAAAACCAGTTGATTTTCTGCTCTGACAGCTGTCATGTGGTTCCATCCTCTGCCTCAGCTCCTCTCCCACTGTTGGTTCCCACCTGCCTCAGCTCCTGCCCCAAGGGCACGTGAGGGGCTGCAGCTCTAATTGGGAAGGCCCAACCTCATCTGACAGCAGATGAGCTGCCATCCTGGCTTGTAATTTGTAGCTTGTGCGACATGGAGGCAGTGGGGAGCGCTGCTATCGCTATGTCAGTGATTCATTATCTTAAAAACCCAAAAATCATTCATGTTGTCATGAATTTTCAGAGCATCTCACAAGCCTGGTTAGCCACATGTAGCTGAGCTGAGGTCTTCACGCCGTACAGCCTAGTCCTGCCAGGAGATACGTGCAGGCACAGCACCGCTTGGCAAAGGAGCAGGCTGCACATGGAGGAAGCACACCTGACCCGGACCATCAGGGAAATGCGGGCAACTGCTGATGGAGAAGGTGAGAGGACATGGGGAGGATGACACAGTTCCAAAGGGCTTAGGACCCTGTCACCTACACACAAAAAATGAGGCTGAAATGTGATGCTGAAGGGAGCAGAAAGAGTTAAGTGGAGCAGGTAGAGGTAAAACCAGCTCTTCAAGTAGCCAGAAGATCAGGTAATGGAATGAACAGGGATAATGGATACCTTCTCCAGTACTTATGCTTTACAAATGCCCCATTCTGCTTTTACAGAGTTCACTAAATAATATCCATTATGTATTCATGCAGCTGAATAAAGATGAGAGATTGGCAAATATGTATTTCCCCATCCAGCCAGCTAATGAGGGTAGAACAGTGCTTGTTGAATGAATTAATTATTTAGACAATTTTCCTAGCTACTTTGAATAAATAATTTACAACTACTTTTTTTTTTTTTTTTTTTTGCTGTAAGATGCAGTCAGTTTTCACACCATTATGTGTAAAGAGTTTTCAACTGTTAAATTTAAATTTAAAAATAAAACTAATTCAAAGCACTAAAGAGGTAAGATGTTCCATTAATTTTTCTTGACAATTCCAAGCAAATAAGACTTGGGGATTTTCCTCGATTTAATATCTTTGCTGAAAGCGAGCTGCAGCTAAATTTCACATGGACTAGGTTATGAAAAAGGCTACTTCAAACCTGCGAAAACAAACATGTAATTTTAAGCATGAAATAATTCATTTTCACATCTTCAAGAATTTGCAAATAGGTATGAATGGCTACACAGATTTTAACTGCTGTGCCTGAGGTTAAATAAGTCGGTAATACTCTGACAAAAATCATTACTCGTATACTAGAAAAGGAATTCTGTGCAGTCTTGCTACATTTTAATGCATCTATACTCATTAATTATTTTAAAGATATATTTAACTTATTCGTGGTGTACATAAACAGTTTAAATATCTTTTCTCTACAGTGGAAAAATGACATATTTATCATACTTATTTGCCAATATAAGAACATTGTTTACTATTCCTCTGTAACCAATCTCTCGAAGCAGGCAAAGAGATCTATTTTTTCTAGTCTGATTTATGACTGAACACCTACACAGAACTTTAAATACTGCTCGCAAAATGCTTTGAAAACATAAGCAATCCTCTCCACCACTTTCTTGAGCAGGTAAATATACTATGTCGTTTTTTTAGAACTGAGCAAAATAACATCATTCACATTCATTTCCAGTGCTGTAAACCCGGAAAGATTTCAAAGGAATTACTTTGCTACATAAAAAAACCCAGGTATCTAAAGCATGACTTAGCCCAACAGGGTTTATAATTTTCAGGAATGCTGTCTAATTGTGCTTATTTGGGTGTTGGATGTAGTTCACTTGGCTGCAGTGAGGAGGAATCACTCTTAAATTATTGGGCTGACCTAACTAAAACTGAACAGTGTTAAATCACGACTTACCCAAAAACAAATTCTTCCTTTGGCTTAGTCTTTTTCAGCTTTTTGTTCCCACTTGTCCCACTCGGGGAAAAGGCCCAGATTTCTTCATTCCAGCATCCTTCATGATCTGAGGAGTTGCCTTTTCCTGAGCTTCTTTTTCCTGTGATGAAGGCAGAAAATTGTTTCTCATCTTTAAAAAAATGTGCCAAAACAAAGTGGGCTCAGAGGACACTTGTGTTCCCATTCAGTACTGCAGCTTATGATGCTTGACCTTCTTGAAGGCGGTTACAAAACATTTTTTATTTTAAATTGTGCAGTGATGATATTGGCAACTATTCGGCCTCCCCTGTCCCTACCCTTCCCCACCCTGCCTCTAAAGCCAGGATCTCTTGAGGTATAAAGGAGGAGAAAGAGTTGAGAAGAGGTGATAAACTTCCCTAAATTACAAACATCTTTTTTCTTGTCTGACTGTTCTAATTGCATATATAAATCTACTAGTCACAAAAATACATTTCAAGACATCTCACTGAAAGCTTCCAGAAATTATCTCGAATTCATCTTTCCAAAAGGTAAAGGCTTCTCGCTCACTGCCTACAGCAAAATTAGCAACCACAGCAAAATAAGAACACATTTGCTTCTTGTAGGATTTAGAACTGTGAACACAACCATAGGAGTTGTTTATACAGAAACAAGGTAATTGTCCAGGTTACACACATCACAAGCCCTGCATACATCTATCAGCAGGCTGACAAATTAAGAACAAAGCCTTCAGTCAAGAAGTTGAATCTCAGGTCATGAAAGACAAAAAGGGAGAGGTTAAGAGTTTGTAAGTAGGAACAGAGATGGCAAGACTTCAAAAGACCTGCCCTGGATCATGGAATCCAGCCCCTCTACCCGCCCCCAGCATCTCAGGTGACCAGACACAACTCCCATCACACACTGCTAAAATTTCAGCTTAAACATAAACTTTCACTTTTCCTCCCGCTCCAGGCAGGCTTTTGCAATTCATGCTGTAAAACACTCAAAGTCACCCACCTCTGTCCACATTAGCGCGCAAAGACGTGAGCATGCCCTCTGACACCAGAGTTTTATAAAGAGCACCTTTGCAAGATCTCTCTGACTTCCTGGAGCCACAGGTTTCTATCTTTTTAACACAGTCACTGTCCTCAGTTTTGACCTGTTCTGGTAAGCTTTGGGGTACCACCTCCTCTGTTGGGGTCAGTGGTTCCACTTTAATGTTATCAGAAGCCTCACATGGTACTTCCTTGCTGGCTGCAATACTAAGGAAATCGGGAGGCTTTGATTCTTTGGTGGTCTCCATCGGTTTCTCCTTTGATGTTTTCTTCTCTTTCGATTTCACTTTTTTCTTTGGTGATTTTGTATCCAACATGCTTCCCTTCACACTTGAGACAGGGCGGTTTTTTTTGCGGGGAGTATCCGTGAGTCTCTCAGCTCCCCAGTCCCCCTTCGCAACAGCTTCAATCGTGTACATCACACTTTCAATGTCCGACTCGGAGGACTGCCTTTTTTTACAAGATTTCTTGGGGGTGGATTTTTCATTCATGTGCCGGTCCAACTTATATTTTTTCTTTTTCTTCTTTATTTTTTCCGGCTTTAGCCCAAGGATATTCATGTCACCCAGGAAAAGTTCTGGAGAACAGCACATGTGATCCTTTCTATTATCCTTTCTGTCAAAAGGACTGTTTTCCATTGCAAGACCAGTAAAATCTCTGCATTTTGCAGTTTCTGATTCCTCAGTTTTTGTTTCATCCCGGTTTTTAATTTTCTCTATCTCTGATTGTTCTACTTTTCCTTTACAGGAGTCTTTTACTGTTGTTTTCTCCAGTTCTACTTCCATTTCCTCTGAAACTTTCCCTCCCAGATCTTCCAGTGCTTCCACTTTTGTTTTCCCAGGTTCCTTCACATTTACTCCTTCTGAAGCAAGGCACATCTAAAACAAGTTAAAAACAGGCCCCATGAAACAAAACATCAACTGTTAACATTACTTATATTAAAAGGAGCATTAAACAGGGAACCCCCCTGGCATTTTAGTTCAGGAAAGCAAACTGCAAAAGGACAGTACTGAAAAACATGCTGAAGCCCTACTGACACTGATGCAATGTGATGATGGCTGAGTGCTGGAACAAGGATGGTGGGTTCTACTGCTCTAACAGAAAAAGACTCCAGCTGACCTCAGTGGTGTTTCCACAATCCTTTAAGGGTCTTTTACATAATCGAGAAACCCACTCCTAGACTGCTTTTCAGAATACCCTAAGTGCAACAGCACAGTAGAGTTATGTCTGATTACTGCCAGAGACAAGTTACTTGAAATCTCACATCCATTCCCCCTTCAACTCTCAAATGTCTCAAATACAATTCCTTCCTCCATTTTCCAAGTGGTCCTGAGGGAGGGAGGGGAAAAAACTTAATTGAATCTCAGTAATCAAGATTATTTTCTTTTACTTGAATGTGTGAAGTAATTTGGGAGGCAGTACAAATGCCTTCCTTTCTTCTCATATCACAGACTTATTTTGCAAAGAACTGCAAAGCAGCAGTGGTTGCCATGGTTATCTTCTCCTGGATTTCCACTAACGGAAACCAAAATCCTCATACTGTCTGAGGAACACTGATATTCAAGAAAAGAGCTATAAAAAGGTCCTCAAACTGCCATGTTCCTGCAGTACTGACTTGGGAGACCCTCTCTGTTTTGGATCACCTGTAAGCTATGCTGACATTGCTATAGAGGGTAGTCCTTCACAGCACCAACCACTTTGCCCTTGGGAAGACATGTCTTCTTGTTCCTCTCCCCTCTCAGAGCCCTCAAGCTGAATTCCCAGTGCTATTTTGTTTTTGAAGCAGATGTCAACTAGTCACCTGGAGCAAAACCAGATGGAAGAGGCTTTCTTTGAACCAAACATCAGAAGTTTCCCGCAGATGAGCCCACAGGCCATGTGGTCAGTATGGAGGTAACCCCATCCTCCCCGAGATCACTGGGCTCTCTTTAGGTCAATTTTAGATTTTAGACTTCTTCTTGCAAAGCAAAAAAATCACCTTCACCAACCAATATATACATATGAGCACAACGGTGATAAAATTTTGCAGTAAGTTTCCAAAATTCTTGCTGCACAGGGTAGAAATTAATGATCTGGTTCAGGTCAAGCTGGGCTGAGCACTGCAAAACACCAGAGCTTGGGCAGCACACAGTGTCTATTAGGAAGCAGGTTCAATTATGCAAAGGAGAACCCACAACTATGCTGATATGGGTTCTTGGTACCAAGGTGCTTCTGAGACTTTTTTACTATACTGCAATATAAACACAGCCAGTGATTTCCAAAATCTAAAGATCAATCTTTAAAATGCAGCTCATTGGAATAATAATATTTTGTCAATTCAACATAGACATTTGCTTCTTCTGCAGTAGCCTGTAGTACAAAGCTATGGATGTGGCTACAAAAAGATGACTTCTGTTTTGTGAGCAGTAAATAAACTTGTAATTAAACAGTCTTTAAGATTTGGAAAGCTTAAAAAAAAAAGTTTAGAAACAAAAGACATGCAAAATTTCAATAAAATGCCGTTGGTTTGAACTGCTCCCAGAAGGAAGATCTGCTGAGAGTATCATAGCAGAGTTTCTGTAGAAGTTGTTAATTCCCTACTTGAAAAAAACAGTGGGCACAAAAAGCAAAAATAAATGAGAACAGCTTATGACCCTTAATAGGAATTTGCAATGGCAATGCCCTAATTTGAATAACAGAGTAGTCCAGCCCTCTCTCTCAATTATCTGCGACCCTCAGCCAAACCAAATAGTCAAAACCCAAACCCTAAACCAAGAAACTGAATCAAATTCAATGGTGATTGGAAAGTCCCTTTGCCACCAGGAAGTCATGGTATTGGTCAACTGCAGGAGACTCTTAGAAACTCTCTCTATGTTGATGGCTAGTCTAGGGAAAATTTGACTTGTGGCACCCTAGCCATGATAACTTATGCTTCTATAAGCAGCAGTGTAATTATAAGTGTAGCACTGTTCTGCCTTCCAGGCTTCTGCAATCAACAGCATTAACTTCTCCATCCCACTGCACCTGCAGTAATTAGTCACCAGTGTTTCAGTATTACCTCTGCCAGCTGAAATAATGCTGATGTTCCACACTGTTTTGTTAAATCAGAAGGCCCTGAATGGGATGTACTTGAAGAAATCTATGGAGAAAAAAAGCAACATAAATAAAGCATTCTTCTACCAGCACAATTCTTTTACATCTACAAGTCAGCTTTTGAATGGATTGCCCCTCCCTCTTCCCAAAATTCATTCATAAGATTACATACTGAAAAAGAAGTGCAGACCTGTGCAAGCTGTTATAAATAAAACCCTGCTCCACCACTGCTCTGGTGGATAATACCACTGTACACTGAAAGGTATTTGCAGATTTAGGGTTATTCTAGTCAGGATGCCCTTTGAAGAGAAGGATGAACTGGAGCACATGCTCTCTCACACATAAAGAGACTCCAGCAGCTAAGCACCAATTTACACCAGCATGCAACCCAGCTGGTGGTGTTCCTGAAGGCTCATTTGATTGTAAAATCGTTTCACTATCATAGGTTAAGAAGGCTACTCCTTTCATACAATGGCATGGCCTGTTGCTGTCCTATAGAACTCATATAAAAGACATCCTATGACACCAAAATGAAGAGCCCTCAAGTCTTTGGTAACTTCTAGTACTCCTCAGAGTAAAAGGAGGCTGTCATGCAAACAGGTAGCTGATTATCCTTCAAAATCTTTTTATTGTCTCAGGCTGTGTACTTTAGAGTGTTTTGTATCAGTTTTGAGCTAGGTGCAAAGAAATGATCTTTTTCGAATCAAATTAAAATTATCAGTCTCAGGATTGGCCATTAGTATGAACAAAACATCCTATCTTTAATGACATACTCCATCATCTCTGATCAGGCTTGCAGGTTTCTTACACTTGCTCCCTTAGAAAGTGTAAGACAGTGAAGTTATAAGGGACTGGAGAACTATAGCATTTACACCCTTTCAGCTCTCCCTATCCTCCAAACTCAGTATTCCTTGCTCTGAACCAGCATGGGCCCACAAAGTCAACTTTGCTGAATTCAGCCCACCACTGCCATAAAGCAAATAAACAAAACCAAATGCTATCTCTGCATCTCCTGGAAGCTGCAACTCTTCATAGCATCTCCCAAGCTCTGACCACTACAGTTCAAGTCTTCAGATGTTGTTTATAGCCAACTGATGTTAGTGTTCTGCAGCAGAAGTGGCCTCCCTGCCTTGTGAAGGTGATGCTCAACCCCACCACTGACTCCCCCTTCACTCTCGTGCCTCCACACTAAAGGCTAAAGACAGAGCAAGCATTTAGGCACTGCAAGAGACTGCAGAGCTGATCAGCAACAGCCTCCTAGGCTTCAGACTGCAGAGTGGAAACCTAGAAATCCTTAGGATTTTTTAGGAACTAACCTAACCCACTTCTGCATTTTATTTTAATCACCATCTGTGAAATACTGAGAAATACCAAAAAGGAAGGCACAAAGAAGAGGGAAAAAAAAAGAAAATGAAATTGGTTAATCCACACAGCAGAGAGATGAAGGAGGAGCAGAGCAGTATGGTGTGGTGAAGAAGACAGGATCCCACACACCACGCATTTGCCATGCCAGCAGCATGGAGACAGCAGTACAGTCCCCTCCAGTGCACAGCACCTGCAGTTTGGAGTTACAGTGGCATAGCACAGCTGTCTGCCAAATCAACTTGCAAACCTAAGACACCCTTGGGGTGACAGAGAACACGGTTTATTTGGGATGCTCCAAACCAGGTCCTGAACTGCTATCTGAAAATTTAAACTGAATGTCTCTTATTTATCCAATTATAATCCAACATTAAAGATCTCCAAAACTGGGGGGTGGGGGAGAAAGGAAAAAAAAAAAAAATCAATAGCACTCATGTCCTACAAGAGCCAGAGACAAGGAGGATGTGCTTAGCACATCTACCATGCGTTTCTCTGTTTGAATCAGAGCCTTTAACATTCATTTTGTGTATTAAATTAGGCTTGCAGGAATCCATCTGAGGAATCACTCAGAGATCACACAAACCTGTCCAACATACACACGTCATGCTGCCAGACTTAGCTTCACTTTTTCTGCCACCTGCAGTACAAACTGTGCACTCCCGTGGACAACCACCTGTCCCTCCCCTAAATCAGGGCTTCACAGTCACATCACAACTTCTAATGCTGACTTCCAAAAATCAAGCTGCACTCAGCAAAAGCCTTACTCCAGAACAGCACTACTCAAAGCCTGCTGCTGTCCTGTAAGAGGATACCTCAAAAACCTCTGGTGTCCCTGACTAAATATTATCTGCCCTTCTGCTGTCCCAGGGCTCCACCAGCCAAATACCCTTATGGATCACTGATCACAGTTAGGTGTAGTCACCCTTGCACAGGCACTGCTGACAACATAGTACATACTCACAAACTCTACTACTGCCAGGGACTGCCTGCACGGTAAGGCTGGTTTTCTTCCACTCATTTAAGTTCCTACAAAGTCAGATAACTGCATCACTATCCATAGAACAAAGCATGAAATATCTTTATTTCACTGCTTCCAATCTCTGCCTTTTTTTTTCCTGAGAGGGACTGACCTCAGCAGCAAGAATATATAGCTGGATGTCACTAGACAGGATTCAGAAAACCACTTTCCTCACTGAAATAGGATGTGGTTTTGGGATAAAAAAAAGCCCAAACAACAGAAAACAAGCAAAAAGAAAAAAAAAAGTGTATACAAATAATTTGCTTCCATAATCCTTTATTTACCTGGAATACAGCATATATCTTTATCTTTCAATCATCATGAAGAATAGCATTTGCACATCAAGCCTCAAAGGTTTTTGAGTGAATTATCCATATCAAAGAGGACACCTCTACAAGGTTATATTTAAGACTCACAGAGAATTTCTAGGACTTTTGGGAAACCTGACCCAGCATTCTTGATTACCACTGACAGCTGCCAATTTCAGAACTTAATACATTGCATCAACTTCCAACTCTTCATACAGATTTCTGATGACCTCAAAGTCTACTTTTCTTTTCCTATTCTCAGTCCCTGATTAAGCAACGCACCTTCCAACCCTTACAACCAAAGCTTTACTCTTTTAATCCTGGTATCCAACTCCTCATTTAAAAGAATGCTGCTATCTCTTGTCTTTGCTGTTGTCCTGTACACCGTTTTTACCACAGTTATAAAGCTAATTTTTCCAAAAGGAAGTGTAACTTTTTCCATGATGTCTCCAAGAAACTATGCACTTTGTACATGAAGGTGTATAAAAAAATCCCCTACGTCCCTTGGGCCATTGCCACTGCCTAATTCTCCTGCTATTTTGTTATTTACTAATCTATGTTTCTGGAAATAGCAAATTTGATTCTAGAGCAAACCTTACAAGTAGCTTTTTTGGGGAAATGATACACACATCTTCCCATAGTGATGCTACTGGGTATCACTTTACCTCTGCCAACTGGAAGAGTGCCGACTTCCCACAGTGCTTTACTGGCTCAGGACTTGGCAACTGGGAAGTATTTGATGAGATCTAGGTTACAAATGAACAGAAGAGAAAATATTTCAGTGGCACACAGGAAAGACAGAGAGGAAGGGAGAAAAAGAATGAAAAATTAAGGGGTTAGTAAATCAGTCACTTTCACATCTTTGTGGTAAAAGGCCCTACACTTCAGATGGACAATCCCATCCAAGAAACACTTAGCAGGTATTTAGAAGACAGTGCAATACAAGCAAAACCAGCATTCTGTCCTTAGATTAGGCTCAAGGATACTCAATCTATGTTTGTATTGTCCACAGCTAATACTCTTATCATGCTGTGAGTTTTACGTGACTAAGTGAGTAAGATATATCCAGTGCTTAAAAACATGAACTGTGGTGGTCAAGGGTAAATGGAATTCTCCTGGAAAGTCTGGGCAGTATTTCCCATTTAGTCAGACACAGAAGAGGACCATCTGTCCTCACAGGGACTGCTTGTTTCGCTTTCTTTAGTTAGAAAAAGGAAATAAGACCTTATGTCTGGAGATCAAATCTAGCCTTCCAAATAGCTGTCGGTGTACCACGACCAGCCCTGAGCAAATAACTACTGCTACACTTCAGGGAATTGCTTTTACAGCCAGATTTCTTCAGACATGCTTCCAACTGCAGCATTATGAGTTCACCAATGCAAAAATTAATCATTATTTATCAGTTTTGACCTTTTTTTTTTAGCATGGCATTATATGGTAGTATTTGACCTGGAAGCCTTGAGGTAAGATCACCAGTGTGTCCATGGGATCTGCCTCATCCCAAAAATCACACTTAGGATCGTGACTGGGCAGATAGTGACAGGACAAGGGGCAATGGTTTTGAACAGGAACAGGACAGTTGATGTTAGGAAGAAATTAATTTCTCAGAGTGTGGTGAGGCACTGGAACAAGTTGCCCAGAGAGGTCATGGATGCCCCATGCCTGTAAGTATTCAGGGCCAGGTTGGATGGTGCCCTGAGCGACGTCATCTAGGGGAAGGTGTCCCTACCCATGGCAAGGAGTGGAATGAGATGGGCTTTAAGGACCCTTCCAACATGAACCACTCTACAGTTCTATGATCTTTCAGATGCAAAAATTATCAGCTTTCTCCTTATATTTAATTCTTTCTTTTGAACTAGATTGAAGAATTTACCTTTCAGTTGTCAAAGAGATTGATTATACTCCCCACCTATCCATCTGCACAAAATCCAGGACATCCATTTCACTTCAAGTTATTTAAAATACAGTGAATAATGCCCAAGTGTGCACTAATAATAATTTTTAATATTAAACTAAAATAATTCAACATTCTAGTTTTGCTTTGAGACTATTCAGTGAACCTGCTCAGGTCCCCACTGGACCTTAGTGATCTTGTACACTGCACTTTGCAGGAAGAAGGTCTCAAATTTTTAATCTTTCTACCATAATACATTCTCACCTCTTAATGATTTTTTCAGCACAATATGAATGGCAGAAAAGGGACAGAATAACATCCACACACTGAAGTACAGACTGAGAACACACAGGCAAATCTTGCCTCCTGATGCACAAAGTGAGGACAGAGCAAACTAATTTTGACAATAGGTGCTCCTATCAAAATGTGAGATCCTTGTAGTACTAATAGAAAGAGAGGAAGACAAAAATTCGCTTCAGTACAAAAAAAAGTAAATTTCAGAGTTAAGAAAACAAACTGCAAGTGACAAATGCTGCTGAATGAGTGACAACTCATTCTGCTGAAGTTGCTGGCCATACATCAGAAGGAAGAGGATGGATGATCAATCGTCTCTCAGTGAGACACAGATCCCACTCCCTGTCTTAACAACATCTTCCAGCTTTAATTAGAATAACCAAAACCTGCAGTACACTACAACCACAAATAGCCCCTTGTTATGTGGAAGTTGGGGGATCATTAGAATCAAGTTACTATCTTTTATTACAATGTAGGTATCATTTTAGCTACTGTATTACATTTTAGTTTGCATAAGAAGCATGTGTCATGGCACTGCTTTTTCACTTCCCTCTTAGAATAGGCACTGCACTTCAACACAAACATTTAATAATTTCAGCATATGGGCAAACAGCAAATACATTTGTCTTTATCTGGGAAGATTACAGCTTTCCCTATGGGAAAGCTGGAAGAGAAAACAAACACTGGTTAGTTCTTACACTCACCATTTCAAGGCATTTTGACCTAAAATTTTGGATTCAAATCTTCTGTTTAGCACAGAAATAAACAGAAAGGACTGCCTGCAAGCCTTCTCAAAGTGAGTATGTGAGAATGCAGAAGGGACAAAATCATCTCCAAGCATGCATTTTTTCTTAAATGATAAATAACCTGCTGGACTAGCAACAACAAATCCACCCTGTTGCATACTGCATGTGATTTTTTTTTTGTTGTTGTTAATTAAATCACCTAGAAAAAAAACTTAAGCTGCTGGAAGCAAAGAGTTTTGGGGGTTTGGATTCATTTTGTTTTTAAGATGGCTGAACTAGCAATTTTTCTGCTTCCACTCCTGGAAGCCTTTTCTTTGTTTAATAACAGATGAGAGTTTAGCCAAGTAAATCCAAGACGCACTCTTGTTTCCTCTCAACGAAGCAATCGTCACCATCTGTTCACGTTTGCCAAACACACATACAGTAAGACCAAGAGTGCAAGGGGTCCCATCTGCTCTGCTTCCCTCACATGGCAAGGAGGATGACAGCGACCAGCCCATGTGAGCAGACAGCTTGCAAACAGCCACCACGCTAAGGAACACAGCTCACTGCTCAGCAATCCCTGGCCCATATAATGGCTTTCCATAAAGGTACAAATGAGAAAGGACAGTAGTAGGGCCAAGTATTTGCAAGATCAGAGCAGCATGAGAAAGCTGAAAGTGTAACTTGGCAACACTCCAAACTTTAAATAAACTCTTACGAGGATGTCACACCACCTTTGAAGACCTCCAAGGCACTTGCCTGCACACCCGCAAGACCCAGCAAAGTCTTGCTCCCAGGATTTTCATCATCTGTTGTGGCAAGTCACTGGGCAGGACTCATTAGCCATATCCTGAACAGCTTTAATTGACAACTATAGTACGTGGGACAGACAACCCCAAATGAAAGACTAACTAAGGCTGTAAAGACAAAAAGAATCCCACCTACTCTACATAAATCGAGTTGGTTTTGAGTGACAGGGGACTTGTACTCTGGGGGTAAAGGTGTCCATTTTAAATGACAAATCTACTCAATGGGATCACTGTCTTCACAAAGAGGCACTCTTACTCACCCATCTGCAAAGGCGGTGAAGAGAAAGGGAACATATGAGGAACACCCAGCCAGAACCAAAACTGAGCTGGGATGGCTGCCAGAAGTCTCTAGGCACATCAGACCACAGCACACTCCACATTTCTTCACAGGTCTACTTGGCTAGGGGTTAAATAACTACTTTCTCTCCCTCTCTTTTTTCTTTTGTAGCACTGTACATTGCTGACAGCAGCCCTCTGCAAATTGCTTGCCATAATTTAGCTTACTAAATGGAGTAATGCATTCATATAGCCAGGACTCAGTAAGAAGCCGAATAGTAAGGAACAGGGACTTTTGCCAAACTTGACAAAGACAGCCTGTGCAAATGAAAGTCCTTATATTTGATCGAGCACAAGCAGCTTTAATAGTGGGGGAGAAAGCTTAAAGAGGTTCTGTAATATGCTCAATACTTTCCTCTGGAACAACCTAAATGAAATCAGGCTGCAAGCTTAGAAAAATGCCATTTCTCTACTGCTATAGATAAAACATCATGTTCATCACTGCCATTAAGGTTTTACAGGAGGAATAACCATGGCCAACAATGTAGGGTTTTTTGTTCTCTTTTCTTTCCCAGATTTTTGTCCCTTATTTCTAGCCACAGAATAAATCAAACCCCTCCAGAGTACACACACAATTAAATACTTTTACAAGAAAAAGAGACAGACTTGTAAAACTGTCCTCAGCAAATTCTAATGAACTTTCTAAGCACCCCTTCTGCCTAACATTTAAGGATTCATACATGCATTCCAATACGCAAAATGAGCTGGCTCAGCAAGGTGGCATTCAACTCAAAGCACTGCCACATCCGTATGACAAATTCAGGTTTGTTATTTTGTTGTTTGTTCAATTAGAGATTTTAGGTTCTCTGAAATTCTGAAAGTATGGCTAAGCCATGTTTTACATGACAATTTAGAATGTTGGAATACATACCCTGTTTAACTCTGCAGATATCCAAAACTGGTGTTTAACTAAAATGTAAGATGGCCAGTACTTTTAAACTAAGTTAGCAGATTCACTTGTGCAATATTTTGCAATAAAATTCACAAGAAATGTTCTCCAGTATATGTCTTTTAACTTGGTTTAAAAGGTTGGCTTCAGCACATATCTTCACCCTGCTCAATTCCACTAATTTTCTCAAAAGATTCCAAATTAACTTGTAACTTTCCAAAAAAAGGTGATATATATGAAAACACCTTCGTGATTAGAGATATTAACTCTACTGTATCTTTCACGGTGGTGTTTGTAGTCAGGTATTTTATGGCACCTGAATGACTAAACTGCTTTTTTCTTCACTGGGCCTCCTAAGAAAAACACCAAGGCCCATTCTAGCTAAGCTAAAAACACTCAGTGCACATTAGCTTAACATCTCACTGAAAGAAGCGTGTTGTATGTAGTCAAACCTCTGTAAACACACAGAATAACAAAGAGGGTATCTTTCAATCCCATTATGCTCCTCCACTATAGCACCAGCTCCAATTCCAGACTTTTCAGAGACACAATGAATATACCTGTACCATAATTGATTTTGCAAGAAGTACGAGACTCCCCCAAATGGGCAAGAAGAGTATATGTGTGGAAACTCAATTCACAGAGAAACATTCAATACATGGACAAGGAAATTCTTAAAAGCAATGTTTAATGAACTCCAAATCTTCAATATGTAGAAGAAGGTGCATAGGTTATATACTTATGGGTAATTCATAGGTTTGATATGTCAGCACTTAATGATGCTGTTAAATGTCCTTGTAGCTGCTGTGATAAGCTTCCTCTGATCTGCAAGGATTCTTCAAATGATCCTGCCTCTAGGGCAGTTGCTATTTTGCACTGCTGCAGCCTCTATCACAGGCAGTGCTTAATGTAATTTCAGAATGTCTTTTAATTGTTGTTTACCTAGATGTAAATTAAAAGGCCATTTGGAAAACATGTCTGCAGTGATCCTTTGGTATGGAAAGCTAAGTAATGTTCACAAGCCCAGTATCTCTCATATATGCTAGAGCTGGTTCAAATGGCCAACATCTTGTCCATTCTGCCCAGGATTTTCTTAACACAATGGTGAAGAAGATAAACATCTACTGATGAGAATCCCTTGTAAGACAGGGTGCTCAGCTATTCAGTGACTACTCTTACCAGTTCCTTGCTTCCTCCCATCCTCCCCCACCGTATTCAGCCATTATACCTCAGCAAACTGAAACAATGCGGACTCCTCCGTTTGTTTTACTGGCCCCGGGACTCCAGGCTGTGATGTGTTTGAAGAGATCTGTCAGGAAAACAATTATGCTTGTATTACCGAACTCCTCAGTTTCAGTATCAAACTTCAACATGTTAAATTTCTGATCCATCATACATGAAGACTCCTGGTACCCAAGAGCATGCAAACGAGCCCCAGTACACTCATACAACAATCTGCTTTCCAGGAGTCAGGTAAATGGGTGATCTGTGAAATGGTAATCTTAAATTATTTTTCACAAGGAAAACCTTTCCTAGGATCAACAAAACAGGTTTTTTTGAAGGGCTTTTATTTACTGGCTGATATGTCAAAGGAGGGTTACCAAAAAAACAACACTATATTGTATTTCACAGCTCAGTGAAAGACCTGAGACTGCAGAATGGTGGTGATGACAGAGCATAGATTCCTACTTTGCACAGAAGGTAAGTGTGGACAAGGGCACAATGTATGCAGGTATTTTGAGATACCAGATCTATCCCAGACACTAAGGTAACTGCATTTTATGCTGTTAAACTTGTGCCAATTAGTTTTGTTGCAAATGACACCTGTGATTAATGTTATGCCTTGGTACAAGTACTAATTATTTTGCCATTGACACACATACCTTCAATGCACTGGTTAAGTGCACCCTCACTACAGGCTGTTTAACATCCTTGAAAAGTAAGACTAGCTAATATGCACTGCTAATTCCTGATCATCAGAAAGATACTTCTAAACCACATGTTTTAGCGGTGCAGTTGAGTTTGTTTCCTGGCACCCACTGAAATTTTTCTTCAATGGGTAAAGAAAAGCCAGTGGTCACAAAGCCCTTAGCAAGAGCTTATCTGGCAGTACACAACACAATTCCTGCCTACTGACCACACGGATCTGGTGCTTCCCTGCTTCAGCACTGTAAAATGACCTAGAACAATTAGGTGAGCTGGTATTTGTCTTACTCTTTAAAAGATTCAGCAGTGAAATTCAAGAAACAGACCATTATCAAGAAGAACTATACAATGTATGGCATTGCTCTACTGACAGTGTAAGTGTACAGAAGCATCTCAGAAATACGGGAAGATGGATGTTGAGTCATTATCATAGAAGTGTCATAAGTGACACTGGAATTAACCAATTCTAAGAAGCTTTTAAGTATTGCTTTTTATTGCTGGCACACCAGGCCTTTCCTCTTCTTAACAAGAAATGCCAGCAGGCTGTCTAAAAGCCTAATTACAGGTTATTTACTGAACTCTGGCCATTACCTTTAATCAGTAATAAAGGATCAGTGCTTCAATTTATTTCTAATAAATTTTGAAAGCCTCAGATCTTAAATTGGAACTCAAGGTCTTGTGCATTAATGTTAAAACAATCAAAATTATCATATTTTCTGGGTGCTAGAATTGCAATGTAGCTGGTCCGTAAGTGATGACATTTAGGCAGGAGTATGAAGGTGCACATGTCAATGAGCATTAAAGATAAGGGAGTCAGATTCACAGCTGGTGTGGATACAGATAATAAAAAGAAGTGCTGGCTACAAAAAATTTCTTTCTGTATGAAGGTAAACACCACCCAGTGTCCTGTACAATCAATATTTATGCAGCTAAATACTTCTACATCACTTGATTATGACTATTTCAAAAGCTGGAACAACACAAACAAGTGATGCTTGCAGTTGGCCAGGATTCCTTGCATTCTTATTTTTGTTGTGTCATTTATATCAATGAAACCCACTAACACTTGGCTGAAGCATTGTATGCTTTTAAGAAAAAAAAAAAAAGACCACCACACCACAGTTGCACTTCTAGCAATAAGTGGAATATGCTGACAAAAATATATACATTGCAAAGTTAAAGCACAGTTACATAGAGCTATTTGGTGGCTAAAGAAGGAAATTTTGGAAATTCCAGAACTGCAGAAGCTGATGACTAAAGCTGCCACAACAGATTAGAAATATAATGTAACATCCAAATACACACCTTGAAACTTTAGTTAATGAGATTCTAGTTTAAAACTAAGTGCAGGAATGACATATCCCTAAATTACAGTTTAGACCACAGCTCCATGATTGCACGAGGGTTCCCACCATGCTCCTAAACACACTCTCCTGCACTTAAGTCTGACCTACCTATCTGATAAATGACTCAACAGCACAAACCCAAAAAGACAAAACAAATAACAGCACAAATTTTATTCAAAGAATTTTGATTTTTCTTTCAGCTGAACATCAGTTTCTTCTTGGAAGGAAACCCTTTTAAAGAAACTCACCTCTGCAAACTGAAACAATGATGACTTCTGACAGGCTTCTGTAGAATTAGTTGCATCAGACTGGCAGGTACTGGAGGAAACCTGAAACAAGGGGTGTGCAGAGTAAGACCTCAAAGGTGTTTCTTTCAAGCTAAGAACAACAGTTAGTGAAATAAAATAGAGCATTTAAGAGAAGACGGACAAGCTAATGTTTCACATTCCTGGAAAGATTAAATAAATAATATTTACCAAAGAAAAGATGGTTTAGCATCCATTTTAATGCATTTGAAAATCATCTAAGAAGAACAACTACAAAAAATACCTTTTTTTCTTTTATAATTCTGAACTTGTCAGAATAGTTTTATTGAACAGAATACTAAATGGATTACATTGGGTTACACACACAGCTACCTTGTAGTGGTAATGCTATCAACACTGCTGTATCTGTAGTTTGTACTATCATTCTAAATAAGATTACCTAGATGGTAAAAAATGATTTGAAGACACTGAGACTTGCTAAGTGATGGAAATACTTATTAGAAAAGTAATTCCAAATCTTAACAGCATGAAAGTAAGTAGATAAAGGTAGCCTAAGCCTAAAATTGCTAAAATAATATACCTAAACATACACTTCAGGGGTGCTTTTGAGAAGCAGTGCAAGAAAGAGTCATAACACCTGAAATCAAAATACCAAAAACTGACTGCTCAAAACCAAAAGCCTTATTTGAATTAACACAGAGCTTAGCCATACTATTCTTATTAGCTAGAGATGGGTTAATCGAGCCTCATTCTGTAAAGGATCTTTATCAAATGTGATACATTCAGGAAGTGTCACATTTGTGTGTGAAAGATCTATATATGTAACTCCTAGGAGCATGAGGTACCTTTAGTATAAAACAAGGTGTGTAACGTGGCTTTTAAGAAACAGAAGAAAAGGAAGGAGGCTTTGTAAGATTTTAGGAAAAGTAACAGGATGGAAATTTTTTCCCTAACAATTTTTAATCCTTCCACAGAAGTTCAGTTTATTTAAAACATTGCAATGCAAATGTGGGTTTTTTTAATCTTTCTATTACCTAAACAAGTATATCAATAGCTTTTACTGGTGAATGCAAACAAGATATAGTTACCAACCGCACCTTTTGCTGGTAAGCACATAGAACCATAGAAAATGCAGACCTACACAACAAGCTGTTTGCACTGCTGCTGCTGTTTGTCTGAGATGCTTAAGCACCGCAATAGCACCAGTGGTATTTTCTTTCAGGAATCTGCTACTCATTCTCCCTTGAAAACACTAAATCTGAGTGTAGCAACCCACAGGCCAAGGGGAGATATACCAACATGACAATTTGCTTGCTTGTTTCTTCCCTGCCATGAAACCAAGCAGCACCAGTGACTCCTATGATCTATATTTCCATTATATTTATCAAACACTAAGGAAGATGTTTTATCAGTGTACTGTGGAGTCTACCAGCCCAAAGGGTTACGAAGAATGTATTTTTAATGCCTCTCTTTTGCTTTTTCAGTGGTTTGTTCCACTGATGTAATGTTTGTTACTGTTTTTTCTCATGTTTCCGTACAATCAGTTTAAAATGTTTGTGCCTCAGCAGTGGTCTGGACTGTTCTGGGAGAGCACCTTGCTGCTGTTGAGTGACCCATCTCTGTAGGTCTGAGACTCTGCAGTGGTGTGAAATATGTAAGGTTGCTACCTGCATGTCTGAGCACTCACTTGGTTATTTTAGGCCACTTCACTGGCGGGATTCTTGCAGGAATAACCAAATTTGGGGTTGGTTCCCAAATAATTTAACTTTTCTGCAGTTCGACCAGCTGCCTTATGCAGCTTAACTTGCAGTGTCTACTGAAGCAGTTTTTTCTTAAGTGGAGCCTTTCCAATGCAAAAGGGAACTATTTTGCTTAGGAGAAGCCATGTGAAAGCTCCTAAGGCGGGCACTGCAGGCCCACAAATTCCTGAACTCTGCCCAGCCGTCCATATGGAGACTGTGGCTCCGCAGCTCCCTCTGCCTATCCAGGGCCATGTCCACCGGAACATGTCAATACATGCCTGAGTTGGCACGACACAAACGAGCTCTGGGTTAGGAGCCATTGACCCACAGACTCCAGGAGCACCGTGCTGGAGTGGAGATGCTCTCCCAAGGGAGGCTATCCCAGATCAGCCCCTACAACACCAGGGCTGTAAGACATTCCCTCCCTGGGCAGGCACAGGGACAAGAGGAGCCTCCTCGCTGCCCCCTCTCATGCTGGGGGTGGGCACAGCTTGTTCACTCTGTGGTACAGGAACCACTTACTGTGGAACATGTGAAGCCCAGTTTTCTACAGATTTGTGTGTAAAGGACAGATTGCTGGTGTACAGTAACTCAGAGCAGATTTTATGGTTGGAACCACTGCACTTTTCCTATCACTTCCTCGTATTCTTTAAAAAGGTAATGCTGTTGCCTTTGTTTGACAGCGAACTAATTTGAGCTTGTTTCTTCTACTCTGCTGCTCCGCAAACACTCTTGACTTGTGGGAAACTTACTATCTCCAGGACTTCTAACCTTTGCCAGGCTGAACCTGATCAAAGCATTAAAATAATTACCAGAGGGAACAGATGCACAGATAGTGCCATTTGGTATGTATCATTTCCTGACGTAATAAAATGTCCTCAGCATGTCATTTCTTCTCCTCTTTCCTCCTCCCAGCTTTCCCTCAAGCTGCACTGAGAGATTTTTCACTTCTGATTTACACCTTGCACAGACCTGGCATCACATGCAACATAACCTTTTGTTTAAAAAGGAAGGAAACCACAAGGATAACACCTCTGTGGCCTCCCCTTCCCTCCAGGGTACTGTAACCTGCTCTAAAATGATCACACCAAACAAGGGTGGAGGACAGACCCTAGGGCAGCCCCTGCCTCACCTGCCACTGCCTGATGTGAGGCTTTAATGCTGTTCCGATGTGCTGAGCACTGGAAAGCCTGGAATCTGGTAGAAGAGACAGGTTTTGGACTGCACGATGAATTTTGGGATTTCTGGGCAGTAACCTACAGAGAGGCCACTAGGTGCTGCTGTAACGCAAGGAAAGGGCCCGACGGACCATAAGGGAGATGTGCAGAGAGACAAACAGGCAAGCAAGGAGCGCTGCTCACCAGCTTCGGCCGTTGCTAATGACCTGCGGTGAGGACCAGGCTCTGCTGACACAGCACACCCGTCTTTGCTCAAGCGTTCAACAAAGTACACTTATATACACACCACAGTCTTGCGACCCAAAACCTAGGTGGAAACTCCTTGGATATCAAAATCCTTTGTCTACTGCCCTTAAAGCCTGTAGCTTCTCTTGCTTTCCTGCTTAGTAACTCCAGCTGCTGCCTGGAAATCAATCATGGGCCAACACTGAGTTCCGTTATTAGAAGAAAATCTCTCTAGTCTATTGAAAAAATTTACAAAAACAGGAACACACTGAGAGATGGAGACTGAAGGCCTCAAAACAATTTCGTAAATATCACTGTTGTGCCTCTTCCCATCCTCCTGCTGGCAGGTCACTTTGTTACCTGACATCTGGGCTTCTGACAACACGGAGATTAAACACCTGACTTGAAAAATTCCTGTATGTCCATTTAGCATAATCCTGACAGAACATCAGCAGGTGTCGAAAATGCTCACATGGGATTAACAGACAAGTGCAGTGTCCCTCACCTTCTTCCCAAGTTCTGAGCAAAACTATGCCAGTGCTGCCCTCCTCTCCTTTAACAAGTTTTAAGATGATAAAAGTATTAAAGATGTATATTACAAGGCCACCCAAGCCTGCATAATCACACATATGCACAGCAGTCACACTGCATTTTGACAGGCAGACCTCCAGTTTAAGAACCATATATGTGCATGTGTCTGAAATGTATACACAGACTTTAATGATAATGAAACCCATGTGATGTCATTCAGAGCACCCTTTTAAAAATGACAGTGTCTGTCCTTTTATTTTTTTTTTTAATATAAATGCCAGGGGTTTAGATGTACAACATATATTTATATACTTACGTGCATCTAAAAACAAAACATATACTCTCCATAGTTAACCAACTTCTGAGCCTCTGCACTAACAACACCTCAGCAGTCACCTTAGTACACCAAATTCTCTGCCATGTTGATACCAACTGTAATGCAACACAACTGATCCCTCTCCACCGAAGAGCAAAGCAGCCTATCAAGTCCACGATGAATTCTTGAGTTTCTTTCTGAGCCTGTCATACCACCTCCTGGCACGTTCTGCTAACCCCCCAAACACTGGCTGGAGTGTAAAACCATAAACATGGAAATCCAACCATAGATTCTCATAAAGGCATACGAAGATGAACATCTTACACCTCCTCTGTCCACATGCCCGAGAATGGGAAGACAAAAGAGCTGTTCAGTTATTCAAGTCTAAACAGGTTTAGGATCATTACTGCATTTCAGAAACACAGGCCTAAGAAATATTTGCTCTGTATCTCATCACCACTGAAACAGAAGGAAAAGGAAAATGGAAGACACATGAGGGCTGCCACACAACAGAAACTGAGGAAGTTTCCCAGAACATGGAAACACAGCTGGAGACTTAATTACCACTAACACACGGTTAGGAGGACTGAACTTTGTTCATTTGGGTCCCTTCGTGAATACCAATCACCCAGATTGTTCTGGAGGATGCATTTTATAGACAGTGGACCCTCAAAAATGATTGGAGATGTGCAGCTTCCTGGGAAAGCGCTCTGTCGCTTACCTGCTTCTCAGAGAGGGTAGTACAATTAAAAAAGGGTAATTCATTAGTACGGGCTAATTTATGGCCCATCGTGATTCTAAGAATAGCCAACAAGTCCCTCAACTAGTTTTGTTCAGAGTGTATTTATGACAATTATTTTACTCCACACTTTTGGAGAAAGTAGATTACACAGCTTGCTGCTTTGATGTGGAGGGCCAGGTTTCAAAAGAAGACTACGGGCCCAGAAGAGCACAGCACAGTAAAGCTTATACATGAAGTGAATATTACATCACAAGTTATATTGCACACTCCTATCAGAGAAAATGAGGTTTATGCAGGCATATGGGAAGCATGTCTTTTGCCCCCCCAAAAAAAAAAAAAAAAAAATCCTGACTAAAAACCATCTATGTACTAAAACAATTGCACAACATCTTTCTGTTTTGTCTCTAAACCTACAGGTAGATTTTAAACCTTCACTGCCATCTGAAATCATATTACTTGAGGCTGTTATGTAAAATGTAGAAAATTCAACTCATGAAGACGTTTCTTAATGGAAGTTAGTTTCTGTGACTACAATATACCTTTCCTTACATTTAAACATAACAGGGTAGTAAAAACAGATTTTATGCTCCAAGCTGAGAGAGTACAAGTTTGAGAAGTACAGGACAGAATCATTTTAGCACAAAGTAATACATTTCATTTCACTGCTTTGCCAGCTTGACAATAGTGTTTCTGCAGCACGGAAGGCCAGTAGCCACACCTGCACAAAAAACTCCATGGCTCAGATCAGTGTGCAAAGCATTGAGGAGTCTTGGTGGTAGAGGAACAAGCATCTCAAACACACTGCACATTTTGCATTTGGGGGTATCACATATAGATTAAGTTAATTATTGCTCTGCCTCCCAATAACAACAACAACAAAAAAGAAACCTTCCTCACTTCCACTGCTCTTTCCAGGCTAGAGATTTATGGCAGTGACTACCTATTTTACCCAACATACAAGCTGCTTTTTGAACCATTTCCAAAGTTGGCCTCAAAAATAGATCGTAAACAACCAGTATAAAGAAAGACCTGAGGTCTCTGCACTACTGGAGATAGGCAGGCACACTTATTTACTAGACCCCTTTGTAAAAATATAAAAAACATTTGTGATGACAACTGAACTACAAACTTCTTTTTAGATATAAAGACTTAGTGAATAGGAGGAGACTGCAATACTTCGATTACCTCTTAGCACGTGCATGGTTTTGGAATGCCTATACAATGACATTGACTGTATGGAAGTTATTAGGTGCTTATTTTGCTGTTAGTGCCGAGGTCACAATTGTGTGAGGCATTACAAAAGCATACAAAATCCTTGCCTAAAAAAGCTTGCAAACCACCTGTCTGTTAACACAGTCACAGTACTTCACGCCTTCCACCCCTGGCAATATTCTTTCAGAGGGTAGACTTGACTGGTGTGATCAAATGTTCAGTCAGCAGAGTTAATACTGAACTGACACAAAAACTGGACTCAACCTCTACATTCACAGTTGGGATACCAGATTCACACTTCAGTCCCACTTGAGGTTACCTGTGATGTGTCCTAAATTTCATTCCCCACTGGTCAAATATTCCTCTTATGAGGTCTCTTTAAACTGAGGGCTTGTAGTAGGGGAGAGAAAAGAGTTCCTTACCTCTTGTGCAGTAAGCGCATGTTCCCCTGCTAGAAGCAGCATACTTAGGCCTCCCATTTGTGTAGGATCTGTTAAAAGAGTAAAACCAAGTCTTAAGTTGATTCATTTGCTTGTTTAAAAAACCTACCACTTGCAGCATTAAACCCCCAGAAGACTACTAGTCACAGACACTCTAAGCAAGCTGCCATAAAAGGCAGTTCAAGAGAATCACAAATAACCATTTCTGTACCCTCTGGGAAGGCTTTCAAAGCTGTTTGAGGGATTTAATTGGATTTGTGTGCTTAACACCCCATTGCGTGGATTTACAATTTTACTGCCAAAGGTTTTATGTACTACAGAGATGAATATCTTTAAAAAAGCAACTGTAATGATCTCATACATAAATATACACAAAGATGCACATGTTTATAACTCAGTGGATGCTCCTATCACGGGATTGGTTCCTTCTTTAGCCACTGAACAAATTAAAAGATGGAACAAACAACATGATCAGGCTCTGAAGCAAAACTTCTATTTTCATTTATCTTTAATTTAGAGCTGCATTTAGCGGTGAAAAGTGCCAGCCTGACAGTTCTGAAGCATGAAGCGCTTGATCCTCTGTGCCAGAATAGCACAGGCACTGGCCAGGCAAGCTGCCTGCCTACTTGTTGCCCTGCCAATACAACATGTAATTGAGGAAAGTAAAATGGAGATATAGATGTTCTTTTCTCCAAGTATTTGATGCTGACAGCTCCTCGCCTCCAGCCTTCCTGCACTTCAGGAACACAGAAAACGACAACAAGTGAAAGCAATAAACACTGGCACTGCATTAGCCATGGAGTGGCTTTTCCTCTCTGAACAGTGGTTGCTCTTCATCATTATGAAGATTAACTGATTTTCTGATTTTCAGGGAACATCTTGGAAGAAATGCAGGGGCCTGATCTAACAGTGTCATGTAGAGAGAGGGAGACTGTGGCCCAAAAAGCTCATACAACAGCCACATCGTGAGAGAAAGGGAAGTATTATCCTTGCTGTATTGCTGAAACACCAACTTCAAAATGACTAGACACACCAAAGCTAAGTGACCTTCCCCAGGCTTCACTGAGCATGTTTTCCAATATCCTTTTACTAAACTATACAAAAACTCTCTCCTACAACAATAAATTACATGTAGCCAGGGCCATTCCCTGGAATGGAGGCCAAACAGCACACTTACCTTTGTCCACTGAGTTCCATTTTGGTATGCAAAATTTGGATGCAAAAGAGCTACAACCAAAATGCTCACTGGGAAATCCCCTGGCCCCTTCGCACTCAGGAGTGGGGCCAAGGAATTTCTTGATCTTTTCACCTGACATGGGCCAAACTGGTACCTGTAAACCTCCAAACAATTTAGTGCTGCAGAGGATCAAAGTTCAGTTCATGGGAACACTCATTGGTGCTATTTCATTCAATACCACAGATGCTGCCAAAATTTCTCTGGCAGACAGGATCTCACACTGACATTCACAAGGTAAGTTTTTTCACATGGTAAGTTTTTCAATAATCTCTTAGAAGGGCGTTAAATAGAAGCAGAGGAAAACAATGTGAATAAACCAGGCTCATTCACTATCTCAAGGATAGAAGAGTGGCCTATCATTATCTTTAAAATGCATCCTAAATAGCATCTGGCTTCATACCCAATATTCAACTAGAATTACTTTTTTCCTTCACCATAAAAAACAGGTAGAAGGTGTGTGAATTTTTTTCATATTTTTAAGGAGTTTTAATTTTTAAATAAAAAAGGAAAAAATCTATTAAGCTTCTATGAAGACACAAGACACTACTGAAAGTGTAGAATCTCGTAACAAGAAGTGGTTGAAAAAACAGAGACAGAAAATGGGAAAGGCCAGCAAGTACCTAAGCAGAATTTGTAAGTGAAGTGATCCTGTCAGAGAAACCATTCAGTCCTTCAAACCAGAGGACATCAGGGCAATTAAGAAGTGACGAGTGAACACGCGTCTTGAAAAATAATGCCTGAGCAGGGAGTTAATTTGGAGGAAGGAGAGATCAGAAGAGATATCCAGGCCCATCATAAGCTTACTGAACTGCATATTAAACAGTAAGGGCTTGGCTGGTTGCTTTCTACTTTCTTTATTCCCAATGGAAGGCTTTTGCAGAATCCAAATCTTCCATGAATTAAGGGCTTTCTTCCAGTTTTTAGCTTAAATATACTCGGGGCCAGGCAGTACACATTTTTTCTGGTGCCTGCATCTTTAAGATTAATAACTGTTCTCCTAAACGGTATCTCCCTTCTGTGCATTTACTGGAGTTCCCCTACGCTTCTTCCACTTGCTTTCCTAGTCTAAATAACTCAAGATCTCCTGAGGTCATCAAGCACATCCATCTCCAATGGTTCCAGCAATCCCTGTAGCTCTCCTCTCCAGTTATCCCAGATGGAGTTTGTCTTTCTTATATATGGGTGACCAGCATCAGATGAGAGGGTTCCTGAAAACACTCTGCCTGACAAACTGCAGTATAGCACTTTCTTATGCCCATGCTGTACTGATGACTCCCAGATGCCCTTTTACACCGCATTTTAGTTAGCCATGGGTCCTATTCCCCCTCCTCACGTTTTGGACAACTGGAGAACACTCAGTTCATGGCTGTAAAATTCTTGCCCCTCTTCTAAATATCTTCTTGGTGGTCTTGGCTTTCTGCCTTTCAAATAAGTAGCTTATCATAAGAGGACAAAGATAGAAGTGTTTTTCCTGAACTAAGCAAATACTTAAACTGTTTATTTAAATATAAAAATTAAGAGGAAGGAAAAAATGACAGCTAAGTGGAAAGTGAAAGTTTAATTTGATGCTTAAACAACTTGAACACTTATGCTGCAGCTGTAGCAGAGGGCTGGTGCTTAGATGTCTGATCGTGATAAAAACATAAAATCCTTCCACTAAGGTTTCAATTTACAAAATAACTTCACCTAAGGGAAGACAAAATGTACATGTGCAAACACCGCCATATGTTTATAGTGCCTCCTCAGCACACCGATGTTTCTACTCTGGCACTAAGAACTTATTAGTATGAAGAATCAAGAATTTCAAGGGGTATTTTGGAGTAATTTATAGTTAGATCAACAATACTGAGAAAACAGCACACACATTTGACTTGCAGAATGGGAGGCAATTCGTGACTTTCTCAACAGCTTTTAATACTGATGAAACTTAAAACCACCTCACTATTTGGGAATGACATACTTTGTTAGTACTGGGCTGGTTAGAGACTCAGCAGGCTGACTTATTCATCATTGCCATTTTTCAGTCAGAGAAAGAAAGAACTGAGGAAGAACTAAGCAGAAAGAAGGTCAGCAGGTACCACCTCCAGCTAACTTTTACCTGGGTAAAGCATAATTAAGTTTCTTTCCAGAAAAACAAAAATAGCATTTCTATAGGGATACAGCCTACTCTAGGAATTTTTCCACCCTGTGCCTCACTAAAAACATTTTGGTTCAGACGGTTTTCTTCTGATGCAAAAATGTGAAAAGTACTGGGAATCTTGCACATTTTTATGGCAAAGCTGTTGCAAACAACAGTTGCCTTTGCCCTACACGTTACAACAGATCACAGGTGAGCCATGTAATGAGGAAAGCATGCTCAACACTACAGCTTCCAGGGCACTGATTTGTGGGTCTACAGGTCAGAAGCCAAATGCTGGTGCCACACCTCAGCTTCTTGACCTACAGTAGGTGAACAAGAGACTTAAATGTGGGGCGATTATTCCTTTAATGACAAAAAAGTAAAGGAGAGACACAGCTTGTGTGGGACTTAAAAAAATCCAAACAGATCTATATATTACATTTTCCAAGATTAAAGGTAACATGTAAAAAGCAGTCAAGACAGGATTAGCAACAACCAACATTTCTTGGCATGACTCTGGAATCATATAAACCTTGTCCTAAGGAAGTTATCTGCCTTGACAATACAAGGCAGTCAGTGGCATTTCAAAGGTAAAAGTGTTCCTGAGGTGGTTCAGCCACATTTCAGTCCATCAGCTAGTATACAGCCTGGATTTTAAAAGAGATAGTACTGGATAGAAGAGTTAGAGTTGAATTGAACTATCATGTGAAGTCAGGAAGAGAAGAGCACAATAAACATATTTCGAATGAACCGGTATATAGTTAACCAGCAGTAGTAATCCATTTGGCATGGCACACTTGTCATGACGTGGATGCTGCTAACATCACTGTCAGAACCTGTCATTATTTTATGAGCTATTATTATACTCAAGAAATTGCCAGCCTTCATGGGCATGAGGACTGGACCAAGATCCCTATGAATTACCAATGCTCATTGACTCAGTCTGCAGGAAAAAAATAAAAATAAAGACTAGCACATGCAGCACAAAAGAGCCTTCTTCAGAAATGAATGGCTCTACAGATAAAACAATGGATTAAATTAGTTTCTAATTAATTCTCAATTTCTCTGTCTTTGCTTTGACAGGTGTTGCCTCAGGATCTCTGTACTCAAAAATGCTACATTAGGATAGCCCAGCAGGAGCAGTAGGGAACAGATGAGAGGTAGGTCAAGACCTATTACTTGTTCCTTATTTTAAGTTAATAAATCTTTAAGGAGCATAGAAATGATTCCTCTAATAGTAAAAGCAGAATGGGATGAAGGGGCTTACGAATTTTGGAACTGGTCTCCCACATATCAGAACTACATAGCATGAAAAACTTTATTTTATCACATTTCACAGTTAACCTTAATAGCCAGAAGGAATTTCATTATGGAAATTTTCATATCACAATGCTAAGGTATACATGCCTTTTATCCTTACACTTGTTCCATTAAACCATTTTCCACTCTCCAGCTCACAATCTCACCAAGCAGAAAAGTCCTATCTGCCACACTCTTGTCACAAACTAGGTAGGATATGACAAAGTTTCTAATTTTATAAATACTGATGTATCTGAAACTTTAAATGAGGGGGAAAAAAGGAAAAAAGACAGAAAAAAGAATGGTGGGGAAAAAAAATTTTCTCCCTTGACTGTTAGGTTCTTAAACTGCCAGTATGTAACAATAATGTCTCTGCTCTGTATTTCAAGGTCATGATTACAACAGTTCTGCTATTTATGGATATCAGTGAGAGATTATCTGTTTTTTACCAGTTGAGGCACTCCACCTACACTTCTTTACATATTTAGGGGCTTTTTAAAGATTGGAATTTGCTCCTCCAAGATATAATGGGTAAAAGAGCATATTTCAATGAAATTCAATTAGGCTTCTCTTGATTTAAATACAAAAAAGTTAGCCCCACTGGTACACTGATTCACAAGAATGTTAACATCTCCAACTTCAGAGACACCCACATATTATTTCTGCAAACAGCAAATTACTAAACGAGTACAACACTCTATGACACAAACAGAATGAACACAATGAGTGTTTTTCCTTTTAACCAGAGAATGCAAGTCTCTAACAGCAGATAAGCTGGAATCAAAAATCAATCAAACCTGGACTCCAAATGGGGTATGGATTACGATGCCACATATCTGGACTTGACTCTTGAAAGTAATCATATACTAAGGAAAATCTTAGAAAGTTGTTACACAGAGGTTTAACTAGAGTTTTGGCAACTTAATTTGGGACATGAAAGTTATTTGCAGTACAGTACTGTGTGCAGTAAAGAAAACTGGTATCAGAGTTCCATTTCAACGCTGCATCCTCAAACAAAATGAGGATGCTACAGCTGAGTAACATGGATGGAAAGCTCACCTGCCATCCCAAAGTTAAGCTGTGGCATTTCTTCACTTTTGGTTACTTTCCTTGGGCTCGGTAAGTCTTTTGCAGAATCTGATGCAATGGCCCATAACTTTTTCCTGTTTGTAACACTGGATGCCTGGGTTTTCACAGGTTTGTTGGTTGTGGGGCACCACTTGTACCCTGGGTTTGCTTTCATAAATGCATCCTTGTACTAGAAAAGAAAAGGAAAATTACCAGTCATGACATTATACTATCCACAGGGCAAGAGAACACACTGCATGTAAGAGGATTTAATGCAGTAAATAATCCTTAAATATCTTGATTTTTTAACAGTTTAATCACATGCTTAGAGTCTGACCACCAACTCTAAGAAGAATTATTAAGATATGTAGAGTTGTATATAAAAAAGTGAGTTTTCTCTTTCTTCTCCTGAGGGTCTATTACCCAGAGCAGGCTGAAGTTCTGATCCTCCAGACTGCTCCCCAGTGCCTGTATGCTCATGCTGTGAGATACAGATATTTGAATTCTTTAACAGGTACAATCTTCATTTGCTTTCTAGTTTGAATTAAATGAAAACATACATTTAGCAACAAATACAGCATGATATGTCTTACCTTGCTCCCATTCCATTCTTCTCTAACAGTTTCGTATTTTAGAATATTTGAGTATATGCTTTCCCAAACCAGGCACCAAAAATAAATCACAACCAGTATAATCCCACATTCAGTATCTTGGGATACATCCCCACAGTGCTTCTTCCAAAATGTATCATGCTGTATGGCTGCATAAAATAAACTGTGACCATTTTAAAACACTCTGGCCTTGAGCACCCAGCACACATCTCAGTTGTTTGCTATGTTCTTGGCATGAGGCAGCAAAACAAAGGAAGCCAGACTACACATGATGGGTGGGGAAAAAGGCTTGGATCCTACACAGTTTGGGGGGGTAGGGGAAAGGATGAGAGCCCATTTTATTCACAAGATGCAACAGCAACATTTTTCGAGTATCTTGCTGACCAGATTAAAACGAGATTTTTGAATGTTAACAGGAATAGAAAGACTGCATTTCAGTATTTTAAATGTGTTGCTATGCAAGGTGAAGAACTGGTGAATCAGAGGAACATGCCACGCATTCCAGCTGCAGATGTTTGCCTAACAACTGATAGGGGTGTTCAGCACTGGCTGCTGGGGAAGCCTACCCTGTAAGTACCAGTGCCCACTGCAGGGAGAAGGAACCCAGTGCCTTCTCCAGACTGGGTGGCTCTCAATGGCAGCAAATGACCAGAAGAGCAGTTTTATCCTTGGAAGTACACAGCAGGGCAGCTGCAGGAAGTTTGTTCTGTGATTACATGTTCCCACCCACACAGCTGTCATCAGTCCCAGTTACAGCACAGAGAAGCACCTATGTTTCAAGCGCATATGTGCACAGAAACACATGCAGAGAGGGAAAAAAATCCCTTGGGCATCAGATACAGAAACAGCATTGAAAACCTTGTCCTCTGATAGAGCCACTACAGCATTTTCCCAGATCAATAAAGAGTATGCCTTGTGGCAGGATCACCATCACATGTGCACCGCTTGCTTTCATTTCCGTCTTAACCTATGAGCTGGCACTTGCTACCTCCAGACTGTAGCACAGATTAAAACGTTTCAGTTTACAAGAAACACAGCACTGCATGAACCCGCTGTGTGAAGCCCTGTATTTATAGAAATGGCTATAAATAATAAAGATCTGCAGGGATCACTGACCCACATACACACTGTATTTTCTGAATAGGGTGTATGTATTAAATCTGCAAACTAAGGATTGCGACACCTCTCACCTCGAGCCTTTTCCCTTTCCCTCAGTTTGGTCTGGGAGCTCAGTACACCACAAAAATAGCCTGGTGGAGGGAAGAGAAAGGAAGGGGAGGGTAAGGGAAGAGGAGAAAAGGAAATACACTGCGAAGCAGCTTTGCCCTCCATTGTTAAAGCCACAGCCCGCTCACAAATCACGTTTCCAGCCTGCGGAGTGAAAAGCACAGTTGCTAGCAATGAGGTACGTAAGCTCCTCATATCAGCAGTGCTGCTTTGAGTAATTGAATTATTCTATTGAGTAATCTGACAAGCCGACAGGATGCCCATCAAATGAGAACCAGAACGCATGGCATTTGTGAGACGAGGCTGCAATAAGCTTTTAATCAGTTTTCAACAAGAGCAATTCAAGTGAGCTGGTGTATTAATGGATTTTTTTTTTTTCCTCTGCAAAGCCAAGAAGTGAACATTAACTGCACTCTCTGAAGGGGAAGGGACAAACTAAACTAAGGGAGGAAAATTCATTGGAACTGTTCAGTTTCAATGCTCATGATAAAGGAAAAGAAAATTTAAAAAGTTGAACTGTGGCCAAGAAGGACTTCTATAAAATGCATACAGGGGCCTGGTCCAAATCTCAGGAAGACTTTCATTATTGATTTTTGTGACTATTAGACCAAGGCTTAAAATGAAGAAATACATTCTGCTTGCCAGGTCATGAGAAGATAGCTTAAATGAGCTACACAGTAACAAGAAAATGCCAAAGACAATAATGCAGTTTACTGTTTTCCTCCCTTTGACCAACTGTTCGGTAAACTAACTCAATGCAGCCAGCCTAAGCACACCTCTGAAGTCAATTAAAACAAACAAGCCACAACCAAACCAAACTAAACGAACAAAACCCAAACAAAACCACAAAAAACCCCAACCCAAACAGTAAGCACTTATCCTGGAATGCAAAGACACCTCCTTGGTTCCCACACAAGTAGCAGGGACAGCCCGGCATGATTGCAGTCCCAAAATTCCAGGTAAGACAAAACCCAGGATATGTTTGTGGGATTGGTCTGATGCATCATTTCTGTTTTGTGAAAACCTGAGGAATGTTGTGTTATGCAGTGGGATTGGTGCCACTTCAGAGCTGTGGTTAAAAATATGTGTTGTGCTTTAGTGCAACTCCCAGAGTTGCTTTCATCACCAAATAAAAAAAGATTTGCTTTCTCCAGCTGTGGCAGGAACAGGAGTTCACAAGTGGATTCCAGCTACACCTCAGGGTAGCAGTTAGCACGTGCTTAAACTTAAAATGCGCGCTTAAATCCCATCAACTGGCTGTTTGCAGCGTTTGCACTACACAGGTGTCACCACGTGGACTTGCCAGACTCCAGCCAGCAAGCCAGAACGTTCGTGCCCTCCCACCCTGAGGCAGCTGCCAAAGCAGTGGCACCTCAAGGCCAGCGAGCTCCCAGCCAGGCTGACTGCACCTAAGACACCACAGGCCAAGGACTCGCAGGGTCAAGTGTTCAGCTCAGCCACTGAATGGCGGAAGAAACACAGAATCAATCAGGCTGAGAAAGACATCTGAGATCACTGAGTCCAACCTGTGACCCAACACCACCATGTCAACTACACCACGGCACTAAGAACCACATCCAGTCTTTCCTTAAACACCTTCAGGGATGGTGACTCCACCACCTCCCTGGGCAGCCCATTTCAATGTCCAATCACATTTATCAGGTTGCTCCCTGCAGGAAGCATTCCCAACTGCCCAGATCTTGCTGATGGAAAGACATACTTAAAACTTAAGTGTCTTCTAGCAAGGAACAGGGCTTGAACAATAACAATCTCACTTTCCAAGGTGGTCGAATACTTCCACTAAGTCCTGTAAGAGTTAACAAATAACACTATTCCTATTACTGAAGTAAATAAAAATGCTGGAGCATATTTATGAGTGGCCAGATTCATTTCCCATCAGTGAAGAAAAACACTAACAAGGCAGCAACATTTGTGGTTCCACTTGGAGTATTAATCAGCTACTGGGCTTATATCCTAGATCATGAAACTTTTAAAGTTAAGTTGCTCTAGGAAGTCTGCAGGATAGAAACAGAAAGCCTGGTCCTAAAGAAAACACCATCAGAAGCAGACTTTAAGCTCTGCAGGTGTAGCATCAGGTCTCCAGGGCAGGTGTTTCTACAAGAGACCATAAATCACAAGACTGAAAAGAGAGGGCATGTGGAATCAGTTTTTCCAGATAATTAAGGCACTCCAAGGTGCACGCAGGTACATAATGGGATTTTCCAAAGTGTCTAAATGAACTATAGACCTGATTAGTCTCTCAGTGAGAGTCAAGGATGCCCAGTCCACTAAGAAACTTCACCTAGTTCTGATTGGCAAAAAGTTTGGGTGCCTTCCTATCTTCCAAATGTTAGATCTTGCATACAGCAAGACATATGTAAGTAAATATAGAAATGCCTTGACTTGCATACTGCTGAGATAGGATCACTGCGAGCAGTAAGCAGCTAAGAAACTGAAAGCTTCTTGCCTGATGCTTGATTTAACCTACCTGGTTTTGTAAGCTACAGCATCAAGCAGAAACAACACCCCAGAGACTGCAGAACAGGGGCTGTAGTCACTGCAGTAGGGATCACTTCTGTCAGGCCCACCTATAGCTCTGATTCAGATGCTCAGGGTACCCAAGACACATTGTGGGAATAGCAGACATGATGCAGGGTCCTCTGGGAGGTGTCTGCCCTGCCAGTACAATGGATAAGAGGCTATGCAGTGAAAACTGGAAGTCAAAGAGCACCGAAAACCTATATTTAAGTAAGAGAAGCTCACCTGCTGTATTTTAAACCTCAATGAGCTCATCATACACGTACCAAAACAGAAGATTATCGGTACAATGGTAATTTTATGTTCTTCCAAAGGCATTCACCTTCTTGATTTTTAAATAAGCTCTCCTTAGGAAAAAGAAAAACACTAACTAGGAGTTCTCACTAGAGTTAACCTCTTTTTGACAGTCTCAGCAGTAACCCTAAGTACAGGCAAACCTGTGCAACCTGTTCTAGGTGAATCTGCTTGAACAGTAGGTTAGACTGGATGATATCCAGAGGCCCCTTCCAAGCCCAGCTATTCTGTGGTTCTGTCAAAAGCAAGTGTTAAAATAAAATGACCAATCCACACATACAGAGTGGGCTTGTTGGTTAAGGGCCAAATATATTCAATAGCACATTACAGCTGCTAATTATTGTTGTAACATACACTGTTTAAAGAATACAAATTATACTCTATCTCTCTTCTACACATTTTTGGAACTACTTATAATGGTGTAAACTACTAAGATTTATTGTTTCGCTTTGATGTTGAATATGTAATTTGTTCTTCATGCCAAAAAACCCCATCACTACAGGAACAATGATTTCTACAACAATATGATTAATAGTTTCAGATCTGTCACTTCATACAGAAGTTCTGCAATTTTCCTTCTTAATGAACGAGTTTTCTTCAGCAAGACAAAAGGCTAAAAAAACCAGCTACATTGTGTCTGTTTCTTCTAAAAATTATTTCTTAATTTTCGTCTTTCTCTGCATCTGTACTGATTCTGCTAACTGCCCTTTCCTCACGCATTTAGAGAAGCATCATTAATTTGTAAGTGTGAATACAGAACAAAACAGAAATGGTTGGACAAAGCTAAGACTCAAATATTTCAGATCTATGACACAGATGGGGAACTACAGAGGTACTACAGACCCTGCTTCAAAAGACACCTGCCATGCAGAATGCTTTGTTTTTCCTGTGGACCTCTCCCACAAACTACTGAACAGCCAGACCTTATATACACGCATTAACAGCAGCACACACCTCCAGGTCACAGGGCAGGTATGGATAATAGTTTTCCCAGTTGTTTCACAGGGATCTGTTTCAGGGTGATGTTATCAGCCCAAGTAACTCGCTGTGTTTCTCTCAACGTACTATCAATCACTACAGCCTTCTTGGGGACAGCTTATCAAGAAAGCTATTTCTTAAAAAGTCTCATTTAAATTTTCAGTTGATGTAAAGATACTTGGTGAAATATGGGGATGAATCTCTTTCCCTTGCTCCCAGTTAGGGGACTCTGACTTATGTACTGCTCTCTGATTTGGGTATTGGGCTCACCACGAGCTTGCTCTATCAGAAACTGGTGAGCAATACATAGGGAACATACTTCATGAAACACTAATAATTTTTTTATTCTTTATCATCAAAGGTAAAAAGGGACTACATTTTTTGACACTGCCTTTGGTTTGGTCCACTTTTATTATAATAACAACCTGTATTACTGGGTATCAAATGAACAGCTTCAGCTAATTATCACTAGTCAGCTGACACTGAACTGTGTGTTACTGTTTTCAATGGCTGCTATCCATGTGTTAACGCTTGTACTGCAGAAATTATCAGGTGATATCTATCACAAACTGCATTTGTACCAATGACTACTAGAGCCAGATCAGTTTGTGTACACAGACCAATTTCTTTTCATTCTGGTCCCAAGGACCAAGTGAATTAAAGCAAGAACAGCAGCTGCTCTGAGCACCGTAACCCCACTCAGGAAGCTAAGGAACTCAGAGAAGAGAAACATCCCACAGAAAACATTTAATACACAGAGAAAAAGAAGATAAATATGATGTAATAAACTCCTTTACATCCACTACTGAGACAGAACATACCTCCTTGGCCATGTCAGTGTATTTCTGTTTTTCTTTTGGATCTAGAACAGACCACCAATCTGCCAAGATCTTGGTTGCGCCACGATTATCGAGGCGAGGGTGTTCTTTTCTCACAAGAGAGCGGTGTCGTTTGCAGAACAAGAGAAATGCATTCATTGGTCGGCGAGCTCGTTGCTCTGAGGACTCGTCATCTTCAGTCTCATCAGCATCCTGCTCTAAACCATCAGGGCCAAGGAGCGGCACCTGGCAGAACCGAAAGGGAAGGGGTGTGAACTCAGTTATCCACGTTTCTCACCAACATTCAGTGTGAATGAGGGAGAAGCACACAGATGCACACAGCTGTTTCCAAAGGCCATCTGTTCCATCCAGGAGACGCAGAGTTCTACATCAGACCTCCTCACCTGATAGTCCAAGGTTCATTCATGCTCTCTGCAAGACTTAAACTCTGACTTCCATGCAGATTTCTAAGCTGAGGAGCTTTCTCTAGTAACAGTTCTAAAGGGGCTGGAGGGAGGAGTTCATTCCTGCACCCTTCCTACAACCTGAAATCATCTCAGTGGGATGAGGCAAACAGAGCTACCTTGGACTTAAGTTATTTGTGTTTGCAACTGTAGAGCACACAGGGAGGAAAACGCACAGGTAACAGGTTTTTCCCCATCGCCTGCCATTCATTGCTCAGCCTGTGAGCTGTGCAGCACTGCAGCCACTGCACAGCTGCCCAGTCAGAAGGCAAATCTCAACAGAATACACTTCCAAAACATACTCTCTCCATTTACAGTCCAGTGTACCATTCCTACGAGGGATACGCCACAAAGGACTAGTTCTGACTGAATGAAACAAATTATTGCACGAGACAGAAAACCACCTCCTACCTAACAGCAACACTACTATTTTATACCACGCTGTGAATGTGACCCATAAGGTTAACAGAAAGCACTGTCAGAGTATCAGGCTCCTCCCTATCCTTATCAAGCTCACTCTCCCTTATTAGCACATGGCTCAAGGCAGTCTCCTCAGCACTGACTTCTTCATTCCTGCCTTAGGAAGGCATCAAGGAGATTCAGTTATGAATGCTACCCACATGATTGAAACATCACGTCTCCATAAGCAATTCCTACTTCTTGTTACAGAGGACAATTTTAACAACAGATCTGTGAGGTGCCACATGGCATGGGGTGGTGGTCCTTATGAAAACAGGATAAGGTCAGTGTCATTGAACAATACCAAAGTACCAAGTGTCAAACTGGAGACAGATTATTTCAGCTGTGCACTAAATACTCTAGAGGATAAGCTGAATTTCACATGCAAAGATAGCAAAAATTGTTGACAGCTCTTTTCTTCTTTTTACCCTTAAATCTTTGTCTTTTCCTAATCTTTAAAAAAAAGCACAAAAACTACTAGTTTGTTATGGCCTCAGAGCCACTACAAGCAGATACCAAGCACAGGCCAACGTCATGTCTAAAATAAACAACTAAAAAAACCACATCAAAACCCCACCTTGAGCAATCAAGATTGAGATGTGCAGCATGTTATTAAAACAACCCAGTTAAAACTCTTACAGTCTAACTCTAAAAATATTTGTCCATGACTTTAAAAGCATGATTGACAAGTCACTTTCTTGTGTCACTACTTGCCTTTACAGCTTTATGGGCACAGCATCACTTATTTTTCATTGTCTGTATTTGTTCACAGAAGAGAGCAAGACAATACAAACAAAAGAAAAAACACAGCTAGGGAGAATCTGACCCACCATTAACCATCTGTGGTCAAAGCATCCAATGAAATCTACCTTATCAATATCTTCCTCTTCTTCTTCCTCTTCTTCCTCTTCAGAGAAGTCAAGGAGTTTCTTGGCAAGCAGGGGATGCCACTGAAGACACTTCCTTTTTGGTCGCTTCCCAGTTCCTTCTCCTTCTGTCGAGTGATCCTTATTCCTACTACTGCCTTTCATTACTGTGACCTGTCATGCAAAAATATTGATAAGTTCAGAACAAACTCTCAGATATAAATGACCATCCAACCAGTGAAAAATATATGAAGCACTAATGCAAGACTCCTGGAAGTTTTTGGCAAGATACTAAACAGAGATTTATTCCAATTATCAACAAAAGGATGGATGTACCTTTTCCAATCTCAGCATTTCCACTTAATGCCTACATTAACTACCAACATACAACTTAAGAGCATAAAGTAAGGATGCTAGCCAGTCCAGCTCTCAAATGCGCTCCTGTCTGAAGCACTGCAAAGAAGCCCTCACACTTCACTACTCAAGTGAGAGGGAGACTCCACAGCTCTCCTGTACCTGTAACCACTGTAGCTTTTCATATTTTGCCACTGAAAATGTCAGGACATCCCTCTTTCTAGCAGTGGAACAGATCACCAGCCACTCATCCATTAATCATGCATTTATATATAGCAATGTTGATACAAAATCCCATGATACTATGAGCTAGGATTTCTCCAGTGTCATTAAAGGGTGCAATAGGGAAGGAAATCTGAGTCCTGGAGAGAAGTGATTTTTAAAACAAAAATTTGAAGCAAATAACCAGAAGTAGTTATGCTGACACTTCCAAAGTACTTAACAGAAAACAAAAACCACGTGCTGATCCAAGTGTACGCAGAAGATAAATCATATTTATTTACTCATCTATCTTGTCTGCATGTGTCCTTTTCTAGAATATACCTCAGAACTACTTCTCAGTAAAAACACAAGCTTAACACAACCCAACTACAAATTTAAGGGTTGACTTCAGAGATCTGCTACCCAAATAAGGGGCAAATAAATATATAAATAAATAAACCCAGCACATCACATCCAAGTACTGAAGCCCACAGCAAGCCAGCATTGCTGGCATACAGTCTGGTCCCCCACAGCCTTCTGTTTGTACTGTGTACTATCAATGGTAATCCTGACAGGAGCATGGCTGGCTTTCCAAGACAACACAAACATCTAAACAAACTGAGCCTGAAGAGCAGTTAGCCAGCCAGTTAACATCTTTACAAAGCCAACAAAAATTGATGAAGTTCTCACAGGGGCTTCTCACCGGCAGAATAAAGAAGCTGGGCTAAGTCCTGGTCCCACTGGCAAAGCCCGAAGAAGCTCTGCTGCTTCTGATTCTCAGAAGAAGGGCATGGAAAGAGGTCAAACTGCAAGACCACACTGCCTTTTAGGTTGCTGCTTTCTGGAAGATGCCTGGTACAACACTGATGTTTCAGCCTAAAGCACCTGCACTTACACTGCCTGCCCAAGCCATGGTGCCGCAGTTGGGGCAAATGTCTCATGAGAACCGTCTCACACAGTGAATACACCCCACACAGCCTCCAGCCATGCTTCTACATATCCCACCCATTTAGTGATCACTGTTTCTGGTTTTGGTTGATCTCTTCCAGGTGTGTTTCTTGTTGGTTAACTCACTGGCATTTTGGCAATATGCCCTTGTTTGTACCAGAAACTTGAGTAAGCAGCTGCTTCCTCTGCTGACTCCAACAGTGCAGAAAGCTGAAGGACCTTCAGACACTGCTTGCTGGAGGAAACAACTGAAGCCTGAAGGAAATAGGTCCAGATATATTAGGTTTTGCTAGCTCCTCTCCAATTGTCAGCAGATTGCAGCCTCCTACCAGTTAAGAAGGACCTGTAACTTCGTAGCAGCTTCCCATTAAGTTACACATGTTGCTATCGCCCATAATGTCACTTCAACCTGGAGGACATTTAAATTTTATTTCACAGCACCCATTCTCCTGTTCATTGTCTGTAACCCACTCCTGTTGGTTACAGCAAGTATTACATAGCACTTAATCATGCCCATTTCACCTAAACCATCTTTCGTGATTTGCAAAGCAGATCCAAATACACAAACAAAAAAGTGTGGAAAATCAAGCTGCAATCCAGTATCATAAAATGTATGTTTGAAACTGTTTTTATCCCATGTAACCTCTGCCACTGCACCGTGCTCCCCATCTGTCTCTCTTCCTAAAGCACTGGACCACCATTTGCTTTTGTTTGGGTATTTTCAGACATAAATCAACAAAGCTGAGGTAATGTTCAAGCAGGAACTTCAGCTCCTGTGGGTAGCAGTGATTTGTTCAGAGATTCAGAGTTTGCTAACAGACACAGATCTACCTGTTACTCTAGTCAATAAAGTATGTGGTCTATTTCTGAGCAGGATAATATGCTACAAGTACGATGGGGAGTCAGATACTCCAGCCCTTACCACTGACTTATGTAGGTGAGCTAATCACATGGCTTCTGCCTAAGTAGATGAGTATTACTGGCAACCTTCTACCTTGTTAGTGAGAAACTAAATTAATGTTTGAGTGCTCCAAGATCCTTCTCAGCTCAGCTGGAATCTCAGGGCTATTTCAACAACAGCACTGCCTTTAACTGGCACCTCTCTGCCTGCTGCCCTTAGAAAGATGAGCACAAGACTTAAGTGATCCCACAGTGTATCTTTTTCACATCTTCTCCGTCACTCGTGAGGCCCTGCCAATGCTCTATGCTGAGTTCAGCAAGGCAGCACAGACCCCAAGCACCAGCCACCTTGCAAATACTGAAGGGTCTCTCAGTATGTTACGCCTCTCCACTACAGCCCAGCTCACAAATGATTTTTGTTTTTCAAGTGCAGGTATTGAACACTCAGTTACCCCTAAAATAAATTAACCAAAGCTCACCACACATTAGTACTAAAACAGAAATGTATGCTCAGCTTCAGGAATTCAAGGTATGTTCATTAAGTTGTTTTCTTAAATTGTGAACTGTTTTACCCTACTACTTGTCACTCTGAAGCAGCAATTTCACTAAAAAAAGGGGCTTTTAAGGAAGAGAGGTTGTTATCGTACCAGCCAAACATGTATTTAGGAGAACCAAGACACAGAGTAAGTCAGATCTTGGATGTTATACAGGTATCATATATTCCAGAAACACACAGAGTCTCTTTGCTTCCACTTCAGAGTGAATCTCTGCAATGGCCAACTGACCCGACCCCACTGATGGAAGGACTGAGGCCAGACTGACTATTTAAAAGTTTACTTTAACTGCATGGCCTGAAGTCCCTCACCCCTTAAGTATGTCAGGCTCTATACTCTATCCTCTATGCCCTCTCCTCTTTCCTATAAAATAGGGGGTCATTCATAACATGAACACAAAATCATTTCAGCCCCTATTTCTTAATAAATCTGTGTTTCCAAATCCTTTTTCTGCATTTTGGCTTATTAAAATTTTCATAAGTTTTGATCTGTATTTCAGAAACTTTGTTTGGTGTTCACTTTTTGCTGATGCCTTTCTCAGTCATATATAGGATTGGCACAATGGAAAATGTTCTAATTCTCTATTACATCACATGGGACTTTTCCTCTTAAAAATGGATGCCAACATAGTGCGTTGTACTTGCTTTTCCTTTGGATTGCTTCATCTTCCATATTACTACACTCCCACTTTATGGGCATTTCTGTCATAACTGTTGATATTCACATACTCATATAATTATGAGAGAAGACCAAAAAGAATCCAGGCAAATGCAAAATACAGATAACATGGATACTTTCCTTCCTTCTGACAAAATGTGGCATAACTACTTAGACAAGACACTCCGTGGTCAAGTGAATACATGTATGATTAACTCACAGTAAAAGTTTTACTGGTATTATGTACTTATGGAATGGCAAAACATCAATGGAATCCATTTACCCGACTCTTAAGATTCTATTTATTTATCTGGCTTCTTTTTTTTTTCCTTGACACATTGTAAATAGCATGTTAGTTGCTTGTTTTGCATGAGAGACTGGAAAGTGGCAGATAGAAGCAAGCAAAAATAGCAGCTCCTTCTCTTACTTTCAGGGATCCCCAAGTGCTGGCAAGCATCCCTACTAGCAAGGATTTGAAGAAAGAGCTGGACTTGGACCGTACAAGAACTGAAGCACATTTGGCAATTAAAAAGCTCCAGAGAAAGCCACAGAACCAGTCGTGGGCAATCTCTGCAGGATTTGGGCTTAAAAGCAGAGAAGATACACAGCACCTGAAGTGCAAAGTTTGCAATAACTGGAATTTATGAACCATATCACACACACACACACACAAAAAAAGGTACTTTCTTCTACAGCATCAGTAAAAATATCATGTATCTTTTAAGGCAGATGTAATGGCTTTCAGAAGTTAGCAAGAGTAAAAATCATTAAAACCATCTAACTTTTAAGATTTTAAAAGTTACTTCTCAGCTTAAGGATGACAAAAAAGGTGACAGCCACTAGAGAGAAACTAGGAATATTTCAACAAGACAAGACAAAAAGTATGGACAGTTTTGCTTAAAATAAGCCACATATGCTTTATAACATCACCAGAGGACACCTGTCAAGGCTGACATTCATGATGCACTGACAGCAAGAGACACCTCCAGGGTGACATTCTACACCTACTTTTGTGCAGACACAGACCAAACATTACAGAAATATTACATGAGTAAAAAAGATAAAGTTGTTTGTTTTTTTTTTTTTATTCTGGCTGTCTTATTTCCTTTCTGGTCCTGGAAACATTAATCAAAGAATCACAGTTTTCTTAGATGTCTTATAAATATGTATACCTAACAGAGCTTCAGAAGAAAAAAAAAATTAAGATTTCTTAAGAAAAGAGCTGAATGGTGGAAGAGGGGGAGCAGGGGAGAAGACTGATTGCTTAGCTTTTTACTGCATGTGTTTCTATTTCAATTACACACTGTATGCAAGTCTTCATTTATTAAGTGTTCATTAACAACAAGTGTTGATTACATTTCGTAGCATTAAGTTTTGTTTTCCTCCTAGCTTACTCTGTTTCTTATAAAACCTTATATACACAGGTGACCAACTTCTGCAGTACTAATTTTGGGACCATCTCACTCCACTGTTGATCTGTCACTGAAAATGCTGCTTGGGCTGAACAAGGTGTGCTCACCAGGCATTCCCCAAACTACATCCACAAACACCAAAATCCTT